TAAACAATCGGACGCTTTCACTGCGCCAGCACGCGCTGTGTGCTCATTTACATCCCAATATCTGCAGCCTCAAAGCCTATTGGTGGATTCAAACGCTTTTAAACCGAATGACAGAGACCACAAAATGTGCTGAATAAAAGGTGAATGGCTTTATAGATGCTTTTGAAAAGAAACTAAAATTCTTTGAAAGCGTTCAGTTTAGATTTGTCCTCTTGCTGCTCTGTTGCATCCAATACAAATTCACTTCCAAAAATACCAACATACAGAAATGTAATAAGATTTTAGACTATTGGGCTGCATGTAAAAGACATTGCGATTATCAGCGGAATCTAAAAGTCTAAGATCACTAATGGAAATGCATGCTATTGACTTTGATTCATAATAGTAAAGAAAAACAGCATCATTTTAATCTGTAATGGCACCAGTGGCCACTCAAGCTGGAACTGGTGGTTGCGTTAGTTTCATGATTTGAGTTCCAAAGAGAAAGAAAGTCTGAGTTCACACGGTCAGTCACAAATTAGCTTACATTTAAATATTGGCCTTGCAAAAGATTAGGAATCGTAAATCCTATTTATTTTACATAATAACTTTACTTTGATTTACTTTTTTCAAAATCCAATCTTTTACAGAATAAGAAAAAAAAATGCTTTTCACAATGTGTTCTCAGACATTTGGAACTTACTGTACATATTATAACATTTATAATGTTATGTGATAAAATATTTATTTGTGACGTACTGAAATACTGAAATGTCATCTGCCCCTGCAAGTGTCTTTCTGAATGAAAAGTCATTTGTGGACTTTTTATTGTTTATCTGATTCTTTAGCACAGGTCTCGCTATTTTCCATTCTATTTTTAATAATTTACCCATATACTTTTGAAAGTGAATGGAATGCGTGAGCCTATACATTTTAACTTAATAACCTAAAATCATAACAAATGAAGACAACCTGTGCGGCAGACCTGACAGTTTTGTTGTTTTATTTGCTCATCTAAATTAGAAATGAGTAACAGTAATACATAACAGGAGGTATTAGATGATCTAATACCTCCTGTTATGTATTACTGTTACTCACGGTAGTGGCAGTGGTGTCTTTGCAGAAATCTGACTCCCTCTAGTGGTAAAAAGAGGCATTGCTATCCAAAACATTTCTTTAAAGTCTTGCTAGGATTGTATTTTGCTCCATATCCTGATAATTCATCAACTATAAAATGAATCGCTAACACATATAATAAAGTACCGTTTTTTTATGCATTCGTTTAACTAACAATGGACATAGCAATGTTTTTGTTCATTTTAATGTTAATTTGTAAACTGAATAATATGGTTTATTAATCCATAATTATTTCATATTACATTTTATGAATAAGAATTAGGTATGTTTATGTCACACACACACACACACACACACACACACACACACACACACACACACACACACACACACACACACACACACACACACACACACACACACACACACACACACACACACACACACACACACACACACACACACACACACACACACACACACACACACACACACACACACTCAATGCATGTAGGCATGTAGACATGGTTAAGACGATCTGCTGAAGGTCAAACTGAGCATCAGAATGGGGAAGGTGATTTTGAACATGGCCGAAAGGAAGGTGGTTTTGAAGAAAGGTGATTTTGAACATGGCCTCGTTGCTTGAGTATTTCAGAAACCGGGATTTTCAGGGATTTTCACACACACAGTGTGTGTGAAAACAAAATTTGTATTAATTATAACTATTATTCCAAACTAAGTGTAGTGTTACATGGTAGTGTATGTGGGCCAGAATCTATGAGATTCCTTCACTTTATGACCTTTATGATATGTAGCAGCAGTTCTGTGGGAGAAAATGCCTTGTTGATGCCAGAGGTCAGAGGAGAATGGTCAGACTGGTTCGGCTGATAGAAAGGCAAGGGTAACTCAAATAACCAGTAGTTACAACCGAGGTCTGCACACATCTCTGAACACACAACACATCCAACCGTGAAGCAGAAGGCACACCGGTGACACTCCTGTCAGGTGGTCGGGTCATAGGCTTAAACCACATGAAAGCATGGATCCATCCAGCCTTGTCTCAGCGGTTCAGGCTACTGGTGGTGTGTGTTGGATATTTTCTTGCCACACTTTGGGCCCCTTAGGCTTAATTTAAACGCCATAGCCTGTTGCTGACCAGGTCAATCCTTTTATGACCACAGTTTTCCCATCTTTGAATGGCTTCTTCCAGCTGTATAACACACCATGTCACAAAGCTCAAATCATGGTTTCTTGAACATGACTGCAGAGTTTACTACTCAGATGGCCATCAAAGCCACCAGATCTCAATAACTAAAGTTATTGACAATTAACTAATTATTAACATTAGGTAATTGACTATTAACTGATGTTAATAACATAACTAATGTTAATTCATACAACTCTAAATGTTATACTGTAGATAGATAGACAGATGGATAGATATATTAGATAGATAGATATATTAGATAGATAGATAGATAGATAGATAGATAGATAGATAGATAGATAGATAGATAGATAGATAGATAGATAGATAGATAGATAGATAGATAGATAGATAGATAGATAGATAGATAGATAGATAGGTAGGTAGGTAGGTAGGTAGGTAGGTAGGTAGATAGATAGATAGATAGATAGATAGATAGATAGATAGATAGATAGATAGATAGATAGATAGATAGATAGATAGATAGATAGATAGATAGATAGATAGATAGATAGATAGATAGATAGATAGATAGATAGATAGATAGATAGATAGATAGATTGATTTCTGGTTACTAAATAATTATGTAACTTCCATTTCTATTGTGTAGGAGTTGTATCACCAGCAGAGGGCAGAAGACAACCACCGTTGATCATTAGTAGACCTTCAGTTACCAGTCTGAGTCTATCAATGCAACAATTACCATAACTTCATAAAGCCAAACCTATAGTCACACTGTCTGGTGTTATCATATTATATATGTTTATCTGTTACATTCACAAAAATAGTCAAGTAGTTTTAGGATAATGGGATAAGAATGGGTGTACAACTACTGTGGTGGTGAAAGATCACACCGTTTTGTCCAGCGGAGATTTCAGCAATGGTGTTCTGAATAAATAGGTTTTTATTTCCACACAGTCACAGGTGTCTGACACTTTCTCTCTGTTTTTCATGAAATCACCAAAAAAAGGGAAATGAAAACACTATATTGCTCGATGTAGGCGAGGAGCACCCTGTCAGATGACTGAGGTCAAGAGGCTTTAGCATTGGGGAAACAACCACACACCGGAGGAAAGCTCTTCCTTGGAGTCTGTAGAGAGAAGTGCACCCTTACTCGGAGATTCGTTTCCTTTTTCCTCTGCTAAACAACACACACATGCACTCCAAACTTCAAGGGAAAGTGCAGTGAACGTGCAATATTAATAACAGCACTGTCATTGTTCTCTCGGGTTACAGCTGCCCTGCCAAATACATGAGATAGTGTGCAGAAACACACCTGTTGAAGAAACTACACACACCACTGAAACTGTGCTCTCATGACACCAATCCCTCTTATACCATTCAGTTTGCATGGGGACCAAAGGTTGCAATTTAATCACTGTATTCAATACAATAAAACAGTATATTGTATTTAGATGGACCAATATCAGACTTTAATTTCTTTAATGTTGAGCATTTTAAATGATTAGCATTAACCCTCTGTCCCAAAGGACTTAGAAATAGCACGGAAATACTTAAAGGGATTAAAATATGTCATCATTCATTCTCCATTATGTCATTCGTCCAAACATGTATGACTCTTTTCTTTATTTCAGTGGAACACAAAGAAGATATTTTGAAAAATGTCTGGTTTAAACAACAAGAAACAGAGCAAATATAATAGATTTATTATATTGAAATTGTGACTGTATTATTATTCAATACATATTATGGGGTAACAGTTAATCTCAACTAAATAGGTGTAAAAAAAAGAAAGAAAAAGGACTGACGAGGGTAAGGTAAGTCAAGGCCTTAAGCATATTTTTCGGAATGTTTTCAGGTAAATCACTGTATTGTCTGATTCACACGTCAGAGAAGGGTGCATGTAACAAAAGAAATTCCATTGTAATCTGAGCAGTGTAAACATACTGTTTAAAGGTCATATTTTCATGGGATGCATCTGTTTGAACTCTGTACTCTTACAGTTCTATGCACACAATAGCTTAAGTAGGCCTATGTTGATAAGACATTACAATCACAATAAACAAGGCCTTTGTATCAAAATATCATTTAGCATTATGCAGCATTGAGCAATCACAAAAAAGTTGCTTTGAATGTTAAATTGACGTACATACAAATTCAAAAATAGTGTTCAGTTTCTATCACATCCGTAAAACACTGAAATGCAATAGCATGTAGTGGTCTAGGGGTCACAGAAAATGTCAACAGTAATACTGTCGTATATAATTACAAGAACTGTTTTCTATTTTAATATATTTTAAAATAAAATGTATTCCTGTGATGGCAAAGTTGACATTTTCCAGTCTGCAGTGTCATTCATTATTCTTATTATCACGGTTGTGCTGCTTATAATTTTTCACAAAGTATTTTAAATGAGTAATAATGTTATCTAGACAATATTTGAATAATTTTGTATTATATTATTGCATAATAAATGCCAGTTAGGCCAAATTTATTTTTAAACATCACTTTGTCTTTATAATAATTATCACACTTGGTGTCATCATATTTTTGTGTCCTTGGCATCAAAAAAAGTTTGAATAGAGTCTTTATCTATAAAATAAATGAAAGTGGTGGAAAACCCGGTATAACAAACATCCTCGTTTATTTGTAAACCCAATAGGTGTCATCATCATCATCAGCCTTCACCTTAAAACGGATATGATGATGATGCAAGACGACGAATTATTGCCTAGTCAGTTTTATTTTCAGTTTCTCGCTTTCTCTTGAAACTCCTCCTGTCTGTAAGGGGGTGTGCCTGTGTGACGCTTCACGGACACATATAAAACACACGACACACACCAAAGCGATGTAAACTACGCGGTAGAAAACCTCCTTCAGGACCTATAATCATAGCAGCGATGCAGAGGTAAGATTATGAAATTATTATCATTATTATTAAGGCTGTGTCTCAAAATCTAGTGCACGAGCACGAGCCAATACGCGTGTAGGCGTCGCGTTAAAAAGAGTCGCTGTAACAAAACAAAACAAAACAAAACATCCCAGAAACTCGCGTTTGACGCATGTGTAGCCCCTGGTGTAGCCTACGTCAGTGAACGCCAAATACAACACGCTCCTGTCATCCGTCATTTCCCTCTGATTTTAGAGATAATTTATGGGTAAGGGTTAGGATTAGGGATTGGGCTAGGACTACATTTTCGGACAGGAATGTTGTTCCAAGAAATATGGTCTCTAGCCTCGGTTTGAGCTGCAGATATGAAGTGGGTACAGGTGATTAGACAACAGATAATGGAATTAATTCGCATAAATAAAACTATACGTATCTTATAATCATCAAGCCTGCATTTATTTGATCAAAAATACAGAAAAAACTCTAATATTGTTAAATATGTTCTATTTTAATATACTTTAAAATATATTTTATTTCTGTGATGCAATAGAAATCTCATTAACAATATTCACTTTTTGTGTGAAAGAAATCAATATTTTTATTCAGCAAAGATGTGTTAAATTGATACAAAAAGTGATAGTAAAGATTTTTTATTGTTAGAAAAGAGTTCTATTTTGAATAAATGCTGTTCTTTCAAACTTTTTATTCATCAACAAATCCTCAAAAAAGTGAATATTTGCATATTCAAATTATAGGTCTTATTTTAGGCCTATATGCACATATTTGCATGCTGTTTAAAAAGCGAAAGGTAATATGAAATTCTAAAAAAGAAATAGCTATTGTTGGCTATTGTTTTGGATGTTTTATTTTACATTTTTGTTTGAATTAAATAGAAGTTTCAATAAAATAAAAATATAGCAGTTAATATTGTTAAAATTCAACCAAAATCCTTATATTTACATGTATTACAGAATATAATAAACACTGCAGTGTTGCATACATGTTGTATTTGAGTTTATAAATGATTTGAATATTTATTATTTAAAAAAAGGTTTCAACCTGTAAGAAATTGCTTATCAATGTCAAATTTAGCTGTCTGACATACAGTGACGTCACTCTTTTTGATCTCCCATTGATTTTTTTTAAGCAGCACGATGGGCAAACCTCAGTTCGGCCCGTGGCTTATACAGCAGGTGGAAAGTGGGAAGTATGAGGGATTGCGCATGATAGGTAACGATGCATTTCGGATCCCTTGGAAACACAACTCTAGAAAAGACCTTGGGGACGAGGATGTTAAAATATTTAAGGTAACTTCCTCCTTTCATCTTACATTTCACTTCTGCATGAACGAGGCATCTGCAGTCTGAAGATCTCCAAAGGGGGCGTGGCTTTAAAAAGGGGGCGGGGTTTCTTAACTATTAAGGGGAATTCACCCTAAAAGTTATTAAACTCATGTGATACATCATTTGAATTGTAATTACACTAACTTGAAATAACTGTAAGGTGTTGTATTTTTGGTCTGTTCAGGAGTGGGCTGTGGTCAGCGGGAAGATCAACGAGAACCCTTACGACAAAGCGAAGTGGAAGACAAATTTCCGTTGTGCGCTTCATAGTCTGAAAAACTTTGAGATGTTAGAGGATCACTCCAAAGATGCGGAGGACCAACACAAAGTCTATCGCATTATCCGTCCTCAAAGTGAGTTTAATTGCTTATTCTGCACTTGTCATGGGGAAATGAGTTGATTGTAAAGCTGTGGTTGACCTTGTTCTTCAGATCGCCAGGAGATACAGAGGGCCGAGCCGGTTCAACTTCAGCTACCATTCATTGCTGACATCTACAGCGCATCTGATTACCTATCTGAAGAGATGGAGGTAAGATTTATCACTGGCAGTAGACATAATAATATGTACACAATATTTTTTTTAAAATATGAAATATTTTTAAATATTACATGAATTATAAATTATACACTACTGGCCAAAAGTTTGGAATAATTGTGAAAATTTAAAAAAAAAAAAATTTCCCCATGGTTTTGATGAAAGTCTCTTAGGCTCACCAAGGCTGCATTTATTTGATCAAAAATACAGAAAAACAGTGAAATATTATTACAAATTAAAAAAAGAAAACTTATTTTAAAATATTGTAAAATATAATTTATTTCTTAGATCAAAGCTGAATTTACTCCAGTCCTCAGTGGTCACATTGTCCTTCGGAAATCATTCTAATATGTTGATTTGCTGCTCAAGAAACTTTTATTATTATTGTCAATGTTGAAGTCAGTTTTTGCTGCTTAATATTTTTGTGAAAATTCAATATTTTTTTTTAAGAGGTACTTTTATTCAGCAAGGATACATTAAATTGATCAAAAGCAACAGTAAAGAGCTTTATGATGTTGCAAAAGATTTCGCTTTCAAAATAATTGAACTTTCTATTAATTAAAGAATTCTGAAAAAAATATATTGCGGTTTCCACAAAAAATATTTTCAACAATAAGAAACATTATTAATAATTCAGCCCCATTAGTAATTGTAAATGATTGAGCAGCATATTAGAATGATTTCTGAAGCATCATGTGACACTGAAGACTGGAGTAAAGATGCTGATAAAGGGTAAAAAAAAGAAAAGAAATCATAATTATTACACATTGACCGGTGGTGTATATAAATAAAATGATTTAAATATATTTTAAAAATATATAATAAATATATATATTCTATTATGTCTGATACAGCAGGAATTGCTCAGCCAAGTGGAGACAATGCATCTAAATCAACATGCAGGTAAAACATTTACTATCTACATTTATCTAATCATCGTCGGCCCAGATCCGGCCCACGTCCGGTACGCGTTGAATCCACATGTACCAGATGACACTTTTTGGTGTCTGGGCCCTATCTAGTATCTTTACTAAATTTAGTAGTATTAGTGATTTAAACAAACCATGATTGTGCAACTAATGGCGCTTGCCCACTGCATGGCATGGCTCACTTTCTTGGGGGGGGGGTTTGGGGGGGTTCACTGTGTAAAGTGTGAAAGTTTTGCTCCATGGCCTGAGGAAGTGATGTAGATGAGGCTCTTTACTTGGCATATTCACAATATACCCTTTCTATCCACAGAACCCCAACCATGGGACACCTGTTCCCAGCAAAACATACTGACTCCCTCGAGGAGCAACTTTGAGACGCCCTACTCAGATGATCCATGCATGCAGAACAACACCCCTGCCCCGGTCCAGCAATCCAACACTGATGGTAACACAACCAGCTGTCACAGATGCCAAGTTTCATTCAACCCAAGTCCATGACCAATCGTAACTGTTTTACACAAGTTGGATATTTCATATGAATTTGGTTCATTAGTACAAAAACAATTTTAAGAGAAAAGCAAACACCCCAAACCCAGGCAAGTGGGGCAAAAACATATGAATGAGATTACAAATTCATCTGAACTTGCCACAAATTTGCCAAAACGTGAAATAGTTATGAATTGCCATTAGACTGCGTTGGCTTTATTCGAACCATTGACTGTTCATATGTAGAACATTGCACACATAGTAGTGTATCTCTAAATTGTGTTATATAATGTTACTTCTAGCCCACCAATGCAACCCTCCTAATCTCTGGGACCTGGAGATCTCGATCAACTACAGGAGAATAGAAGTTTTGAAAACTCGCCTGTCTTCGCCACTCGTTCAGTTTCACTACCAGTGTGACCCATCTGAGCTGAGAGGAACGCCGATACGCTTCCCGACCACCGAGGGCCTGGTCGACCACATGCAGGTTCACTTCACTAAACGCATCCTCGACAGCATTCAGAGAGGCCTGCAGCTGGAGGTCAACCAGTCCGGCATCTACGGCTTCCGGCAGGACAAGTGCAAAGTCTTCGTCAGCACCAGTGACCCGTCCGAGATCCACAACCCAGAGCCCCGAAAACTGCATCAGAACAACAGGGAGCTTCTGCTCAGTTTTGATAAGTTCGTAAAAGGTATAAACGATGAGAAAGGATACATACTGTATACTGAATAATCTCTATAATATGTTGAATTAATATCCAATTCATTTGTAAACTACTTTAAAATGACCAAAAACATAATTTATAGCTGGGTCCACCATTTGCAACCCGGTTACCATGACTGTCCCAATGAAATATTCCTTAAAAATGTGGCATACAGGAAGTGACGTCATCATAGGGCCCTTATTACAGCATGGCAGGAAGAAATCAAATTCCGTTTTTTTTTCTTCTCACAAATTGCAGAATTGACAGCATGCATAAAGTATAATACTTATAGTGCAGAATTGTTTTTAGAATTTATTTTCTTCTTAAATTTTTGGCAAATATGAGTTTATCACAAACCATAAATCAGTAGTTGGTCCCAAACTACTGTGTGACAGGCTTATGTGAAATATGCAACCCTGTTAAAGGGATAGTTCACTTTGAAATACATTTTTGGTATGTTTTAGCTTACCTCAAGGGCATCTAATATGTAGGTGTCTTTGTTTCTTCAGTAGTTTCAATTTTGATATTTTTAGGTTAAACCATTCTGGTCATATAATGCAGGTCTATGGTCACCACCTCAAAGAGCATGCACAGAGAAGTCCAAATTAAACATGATTTAATGACTCGTAAATGTAAGTACACATTGATGGCCTAAGACACGAAACGAGCGGTTTGTGTGAGAAAACAAACAGTATTTATATCGTTTTTACCTCTTTTAACCACAGCCACGTCCAAGTGATCTGAGGGTGCGGGCGCTTCGGTCTGCGCAAGCAGATTCAGATTTTTTCTCTCTGAAAAAATTCAACGTCGTCTGTTGATATATCGAAATCGTCTTCCATTGCGATTTCCTGTATATCTAAATATGTTTAGATCTTCACAGTGAAAGGTAACACTTCCGAAATCTCTGTGTAAACAATGAGTGACGTACACGCGCAAGAGATCACTTCCGGCGCTTGCGCAGACCGAAGCCCTCAATCACTTGGACGTGGCTGTGGTTACAGGAGGTAAAAACGATATAAATACAGTTCGTTTTCTCACACAAACCGCTCGTTTCGTGTCTTAGGCCATCAATGTGTACTTACATTTACGAGTCATTAAATCATGTTTAATTTGGACTTCTCTGTGCATGCTCTTTGAGGTGGTGACCATAGACCTGCATTATATGACTGACAGACAAGAACGGTTTGACCTAAAAATATCAAAATTGAAACTACTGCTGAAACAAAGACACCTACATCTTGGATGCCCTTGAGGTAAGCTAAAACATACCAAAAATTTATTTCAAAGTGAACTATCCCTTTAAGGCCCGTTCACACCAAGAACGTTAACTATAAAGATAACCATATTATTGTCCATGTCCACACCAGCGGACGCTATCGTTACGTTCATTATGTGCTTGTCTGTCACTTTAAAGGCTGAAGCTCATTATAGCAGGAGGGATTCTGATTGGCTGTCAATGTTTTTATCATTAATCAGCTGGATAAAATCGTTCTGAAAGTGATTCCAACGTTATTGTTTCTCTGTGCCGTTATCGTTACAACTGTGGTCAACTCTGCTATTCTTTAATATTAAGAATGATTTTTAGAACTATATCTTTATCGTTATATCTATAGTTATCATCCTTGGTGTGAACGGGCCTTTACTCATTTTGGGACTCTTTTAAAAATAGCCTAAATGTTATTAAATTTAATACTTGTAGACAGTTAATTTTAAATAAAACTAAAAAATTCTGATTTAAACAGCTTTCACTGACCAATTGTTGAAAAAATAATAATCAGGTTCTTATTTGTACCCCATTATGGAAGTCTGTGGGGCACAGCGGATTATATTTAAAAATATGCACAATTTAGAAAGTTTAACCTATGATTTTAATATTACACATTCTACCATTAGTAGTGACGGATACTAATACCAGGCGCTTAACAAAATTACAAGCTTCACATTCATGCTTTTAAACCCTCCTGGACACTCGCCCCATTGACTTCCATTGTAAGCGTTTTTCCTTTGTTTTTACAAACCAATGGACATGTTTCTATTGTAACTGACAGTGATGCTGCCTTTAGATGTTTAGCTGAAAATAGACCAGAACAACCTGTATTACGGCGATGTGTTTTCCCGTTCTGATTGGACTATCACGGTTGTTTTTCAGATCTGATGGATTTTAGAGAGAACAGACGGGGGTCTCCGGATTATACCATCCACCTGTGCTTTGGGGAGAAGCTCCCTGACGGAAAACCACTGGAGAAAAAACTTATCACAGTCAAAGTAAATATCTCAAAACAAACACATTTAGTCCTTTTGTTTGCATTTTAAGTGTTATACCATATCCTTTTTCCGTCTCCACAGGTTGTGCCTCTGATATGCCGTGAACTTCACGAAAGAGCTCAGATGGAGGGAGCGTCCTCTCTTCGAAACGATAACGTCAGCTTGCAGATCTCCCACAACAGCCTTTATGACCTTATCAATTCTTTGGGTCTGCCTTCAATGGACTAAAGTTTCTGTTTTCACCATGAAATTACACAGCCGTCCTTCATTTTTACATATATTCTCTCTGCTACTGTTATACTTCTAGCACAAGGCAAACCGAGAGAACTCTTCAGAGGTAATTTCCATGGGGTATTCTGAGGGTATTTAATTGTAATCTCAACGAAACTATCGTTCAAATGCTCAGAAACCTCTCCTTGTTAACATTTTCTAATGAGGAATACAGCCTCGTTTTAATATCTTGTCTTCTAGTGAAGAATCTTTCACACTTTGCCCAAAGGGCTTAATTCGCTTCTTGTTCATTGCCTTGTTTATGAATGTGATGTTTAGAAAGTTTGACATTAAATGAAGTCGTTTTAAAAAGCAGTGGTTGACTGTTATGGGTGTTAGTTTGTTAGATAATGCTGATACCAATATTTAAAGAGCTGTGGCTAATGGGACAACATGTAAAAATATAATACATATAAAATGTAATAAACGTGTGTATATATACATATATATAAAATGTGATATTTTGTTTTATTTATTTTGTATTTAGATTCAAGATAGTGAATAAGATGTACTCAAAATTAAAAATTCACCAATCTGTAACAAAACAACAGCACATTTCACAAATAGGAGGAATTTTGAAAACGTCTAACTAAACATTATTTCTGGAATATGAGACTTGAGTGTGCATGAATCCTTAAATATCAGCACATTTTACGATTGTAAAAAAAAAAAAGCAGGAAGCATGCCAAAGATTTTTTTTTTATTAAATAAAGAATCTAATAAAAATATTTACACAAACAGTGGGGCACGAATCATGTATTCTGTGACTGCTTGGATTCACATGATAAAGTTCACTCGGTTCACAGAGAACAGAATCCTCTCTGTCAGGAAAAGACCGGCGGTTTGCCACATTTCTGTGAGACACAACTGAAGTTACATGAGATCAATTCAACATTTCTCAAGCAATTAAAATGACATAATGAAAAGGGTTCAGAAAATCCCAACCTTTTGAATTACACTCTTCAGCCATCATTTACAATCAACTTTTCTGTCAATTCTTTTCACTGAACCTTTAGTAATGCATAAAGAAATGGTTATTTTCTAGGCTGAAAGTCATTTGTAAAAGCTGTCATTCACTAACAGAACAAAAAACAACAGCAATTAGAAAAAAAAACAATTGGCAAACACATTCATCTGGCAGGATTTATCAGGAAATCTGCTAAACAGCCACTTTTCACCTGAACAGAAAAGATCTATCATAGCCGTTCAAGTGTGTCATGAATGAACCTTATCGTTTTACTGTTTCAACAAAACCATTTGATGAGGGTGAGGTCTACTTCAGTGTTCCTGTTTTACTTATGTCAACCAAATAGTTTACTAATATATTTCTTTAAAATCTTTTAGAGTCTCATAAAGACTAGATATCAGAACAATATTTTAACTCAAATAAATGCTCTTTGTAAGTTTTCGGAGAGATCACAGAATGTCCCAGAGGACACGACATACATGTGACATACCAAAAAAAAATTAATGTGCTCTCCAATGTCTATTGTTTATGATGGAACTTTGATGTTCACCAAGTATTGTGTGTGTGTGTGTGTGTATATATATATATATATATGATTTATATTTTAGTCTGATGATGCAAGAGCCTGACTAATGACTTAAACTTCCTGTTGGATAAGCTTAAAATGGCAAAGAAACACAACACCCTCTTGAAGACTCGTTTTAAACAACGGCAACGTAAAGATTTTTAACATATCTTGTATTCAGACACACCCAGATACTTTCAAATGATCTTTACATTCAAAAGAAAACAAACAAACATTCAAAAAGGTTCATTTGATTACTGACAAGAAGACGTTGAGCCCTTAAGAGTTTCCTTGTAGAAATGCACAGATTTAGAAAAAAAAATCAAATCTACAGATGATTGCTAATGATACTGTCTGAAAAGGACATAGCCGTTCTACCATTGACTTCACACTGAAGTTTGGAAGTCTAGCAGGACGTCTGCCTGTGAGTTTGCCCCAGTTTCCTCTTTCCTGTGTTTTCTTGCATGTTTATACTTCTCCACGTAGGCTTTGACCAAGTTAACCACTTTCACCGGGTTGATCTCACCGCTCTTGCTATGACACACCTTGTTAATGAGGGAAAACAAGACATCAATGGAATCATTTTCACATAATAACATAATTCTTTCATAATTAATTCAAGAAATTGCCCACTGAAGAGAAGGGCATCAAAATAGTATTCCCATATGCGAATGTGCTTGGATTTACAAGGAAGTGAATATGAAAAACAGCCCAAGAAACCATCTGACGTCACGCAGTTACCTTCTGAACGGCTTTACGCAAAATCTCTTTGTACTCTTCCTTTGTGATGTCTCTCTTCTGATAGAAGGGCTTTATTGCAAGCTTGACCTCCTCTATTGCTCGCTCTTGCATATGGAGTTTCTTCATGTACTACAGAAAGACAAACAATGTTTAAAAACTCATGAGGCAAGGCAATCGATTTAAATGAGTCACCGATGTGATGAAATTGTGCTCTATTGACCTTCTCTTTCGGATCGGCGTCCCCTTCTTTGTGGGATTTTGATTTGCTGGATTCCTCTTGGGGAGGAAGGCTGGAGACTGTTGCTGTGAGTTTTGTATCAGCCTTAGATGAAGCTTTATCCTTTAATATGAAATAGATTCATGGGATTATTGTAGTGCTGAAGTACCCATAACATCACTCAAGCTTGAAACTGCCCACAATAAAAATTCCCATTAACCGTTTCAAAGATTTATAAGGTCTCGACTTCCTGTGATCTTCGGGGCTTTCCCTTCGCTTAAGGTAATGTGAAGTGATCATTTAATCAAGTACAAACTTGGAAAAACATTTTTTTAATACAAATTTTAATTATAATTATGTAGCTGAGAAATGCAAAACTTGACAGAAAGATTTAATGTCAACTGCTGAAGATCCACAAAATGACCATCATAAATCTTGATAAACTTGTATTCAGGGACACTCCTTGTGAAAGAAGGAATGCACAATTTTCAAGTGTAATGTTAACTTTCATTTCTTCTGAAGTGAAGCCTTATAAGGGTGCTTTCAGTTTCCGTCACATGGGTACAATAGGAATTGCATCATCATTGTTCCCACCTTCTTGAGAGAGCAAGTTGCAAATTGTGAATGTGAACGGTGACATGATGACACCCTATGGTTTCTTAGAGCAACTACATACGAGGCGCAACAATTATGACATGCACTGGTATACACGAAAACTTGTTCTAAGAGCTCTTATTACTTCAAAAGTTTCTTCAATAAAATTCTGTTCACACTAGAGTTGCTCCTGTCATGGAAAAAAGTCTTCTCAATCTTGCAAAAGTAATGCTCAAGATGTAGTGTTCCAGAGGTCAAAATAAGACTTTATTGGGCAAAGCAGAGACACCTGCAGGACATCTGACCTTCTCACTCACAACTCAAACTTGTATAGCTTTAACCAATGATCTAATTTGCAGGTGCTCTCCTCCCTTTTCTCGTCCTGGAATCTCCCCCAACACTTTCGCCACAGATACTTCATTCCTGGGCTATCTTCTTCTCTTCATAAGGGTGGGTGGCCGACTGCCAACCAGTCAAATAATATTTTGATTGTCCCACAAAATAATTATTCAGTGTTTTTGCCTCATCATTTTTTATCAAGAGAACATTGAAGCTGCTCTTTTGGTTCACATGGCCTTCAACAGTGCAACCGCAAACAACTTGAGCTAAAATCCCATTTCTTTCCCGTTTGACTTCTCTCAGTCATGTAGGCCATGAGGCCTTCAAAACACACTAATAGTATTCATCTACAATTGTTTTCTATAGGATAAGTAAAACATTTCATCACTCCAAACAAGTATGATAGTATGTGGAACACAAAAGAAAGTATTTAAAAAAAAATTGTCTTCCAAAGACTAAAGTCATAAGTGTGAAACAACAAGAGTGAGTAAATTATGACCATTTTAATTTTGGGTGGAATCTATCCCTTTAAAACACTGGAAGAAATAAAGTATAAGACGAGTTTGTACCTGACCGGAGGTTTGTTGGGATGAAGCAGACCTTCGCGACCCTTCTTGCTTGAGTTTTAGTTTGAAGAGTGCAAGCTCTAAATAAGCCATGGGAAAACATTCAAAACAATTTTACAAATTTTCAAAATATTTTAGTTTTATGTAGCCTGAATGCTTCAGACTAGGGATGGGAATTGATAAGATTTTATCAATATCAATGCCACTAACGATTCTGCTTGTCGATCCGATTCTTTAACGATTCTCTTATCGATTCCTAATAGCACTGTGTGGAAAAAAGTAGTCATGCTTTTTCGGGGGGAAAAAACCAAGTGGTTTTATTTGTTTTAAAGCTTACACTTGAGTAAGCAAACTGTACTTTTTATGTAATTTATGTAATAAATGGAACCTTATTGTAAAGTGTTACCGATTAGTTATACACCGATTAAACGTATCGTGAGTTCAGTGTTGGAAAGATCAGTTGTTTTAACCATTCATTAAAACGAATCGGTTCAAATGAGTCATTAGTTCTCGAATTGGACGTGTCATTATCGGACGTGTGCCGGCGGTTGGGACATCCCACAAGATGTGTCATCACAGAAAATATTTCATCACTGGATAGTTTTTTTCGTTTATTTAAAGTGTGGTTTGTCAGCTGAATGTGCGGAACGCTTTTCAGAGAAGACAAAGCAACGTATTTTAGCACAATTCACACCCAGCGGTAGCCTAATTTAGGAAAAACAAATCTCCGAATGCTCCACATGAAACTTTAGTCTCCCGACCTTACCATCGTGTCGTTTATTTTGATTAATATGTGCGAGGGAGAGAGAGGAAGACAGCGCTTAGTTTTGAGACGGTGAAGCCGCCTTGCTCCGAAGAGAGAGAGTGCGCGCGCGCGACCGGGGCTCTCTCTCTCTCTCTCTGCTCGTTCAGTTAAACATGCGCCCTGTCACAAGCGCAGCAGTTCATCTACATTACTCACCGATCAAATAAGACTTTGGCGGTACAAAAATTCGCTTTGGACGCCGTGCTATAGTGCTTGATAAAGGACAAAAGGGACAGTTGTGAGTTCACGGTCTGTAGCCTACATACTATGGCTGACTCAGAGCAGGAGCATCGATAAGAGGACTCGTTAACGTCGAGGGCATACAATATCGATGGATCGTAAAACTTAGAACCGGTTCTCAAGTGGAACCGGTTTTCAATTCCCATCCCTACTTCAGACCAAGCCTGTAGTGCATCAAAGGTTTTTACTCACTGCTTAATTTCTCAGACTGGGGTTCTGCTGGTTCCTGCAAATTCCAAGTGACTCGCTTGCCCTGCGGCTTGGACTTCGCACCAGCTGTAACGGTTTCAGTAATTTGCTCATTCCCTGCTGGAGCCTCTGGAGCGGCAGACTTGGGGTCGACAGCTTCTGTTGAGTCGGCCACAGAGCTCTCACTCATTTCTTTCTTAATGAAGTCCAAGTTATCAATCAAGTAATCAATGCTAATATCTTCATCGGATGACATAACAGGTTCTTGTTTTATTGGGGGGTCTGGCGGTTGGAGAGGTGACACCTCCATGTCCTCCTCTAAAAGCGGCGACTGATAGGACTCAATGGGCTCCTTTTTACAGTTGGCCGGGTCTATGTCAGGTGTGTCCGAACCGATGACAAGAGGGTTGTCACTGCAGCTTGGTGAATCATCGTCATCAAGCCATATTTGCTCGATTATCTTTTTTTGTGACTCAACCATTTCTTGCAATTTCATTTCCTTTTTACAGTTCTCAGCGTCTATGTCAGGTGTATCCGAACCGATGACGAGAGGGTTGTCACTGCAGCTTGGTGAATCCTCTTCATCAGGCCATATTTGCTCGATTTTAATCTTTTTTGCCTCAACCATTTCTTGCAATTTCATTTCATTCTGAAAGCAAGCGTGGCTCTTTTCTAAATCCGCACTTTTCAAATTCATTTCATTAAGATTTGGTGATTCCTTGCTGAAGATGTTAAAAGACATCTCTTCATGTTTCATCTCTTTAACACCATCTAATTCTCCACACAGTTCCTCCTCCTTTTTGAAATCTTTCAACTCCTTGACAGCACTAATGGGCCAAGGTTCCTCTTGTTTAATTTTTTCGGACTTAAGCAGCTCAAGCGAAACATCCTCCTTGCTTTCTTTAACTCTTCTAGTCTGGTCACCATGTCTTGATGACCCAAGACCACGAGTTGTGATGTCAACCAACTGAGTCTCTTGTTTAATTGATGGTTTAACTGAAGTAGTCTCATGTTTATGTGCTCTTGCATCTCTCTCTGTCTTCACCTTTGTTGTAGACCTGACTGAACCAACAGCGGGCGTATGTAACTCAGTGGACATGGGCTCTGCAGACTTATGGGAGCTCCTTTCTGTGCGTCGAGAGGGCTCTGATCGAACCTCTTGCCTTTTTCGCTCTCTAGACGTTGATCTTGATTTTGACTTCTGTCTCTTTAACCTATTCTCACCCTGATTCTTTGATGTTTTCCTCCTTTCTCTGGATCTAGATCTAGAAAACGAACGAGATCGAGAGCGCCTTCTTTCTTTTGATCTCTTCTTTCGTCTTTCTCTCCCTCGGTTGTCATTCCTCTCACGACTCACTCTTCTCCCACTTGTCTTCCTCTCTCTACTGCTGGAACTCGAGGAACACCTCCTGTCTCTTGACCGTGGATATCTCCTCTCTTTCGACCTTGAGCGCTGCCTCTCTTTCGATTTCGAACGGGATCGCCGCCGATCCCTTGACCTTGAGCGTGACCTCCTCTTTTCTTTTGATTTTGAGTGTTTCTTTTTATGGGAGTCTTTAGATGAAAGGCTTTGCGAGTTTGATGGTGACTGCTTCCTATCCATGCACTGGGACTGGTGAGGTCTTTCCATTTTTATGTTAGTAGCATTAAAGGTACCACTGACTGAAGGTAGCTCTTTACACACCCCATTTCCTTCGGATGCTTGGATTGCTAGAGACTCTTCAAGGGACTTTGATTGGGGCCTGACGGGTTGAGGTTCAGCCTCAGGCTCAGACTTCACCTCCAACTTCACCTCCAACTTAACGTTTTTGTCACTGCATGACGAGCTTGATCTGGAGTGCTCCTGAGCTTTCCGAAATGGACTTTCTGGAGTTTCACGACTTCCAGGATCTATGCTAGCTTCGCATATAGTAGAATTATCTGAAGATCCTGAGGCAACCCAACTGTGGATTGCGTCTGAATGATGTGGTGATTGTTTGCACGGTCTGTCTCTGCAAGGATCTGGCTCCGTTTTAACTTCTGCACACATTTCCGAGTCTCTCTCCATATCAGAGTCCGCATTCACAGACTCAGATTTGATTTGATGACAGGCATCCTCATTGACTCCAACTGGCACCCGAGACTCAGTATTTTGGGTGCTAACATCGAGACCCTCACCTTCTGGTTCGTTATCAGATGAATCAGACCCCGTAGGGTTAAAGGGGTCATAGACCTCACACTTCTCCTCTTTGCTCTTCTCCTCTTTGGCCTTTGTTTTTAATGACAACAGCATGTGTTTACTTTTATTACTCTTCTTTGTTGATTCCTCCTCATTCCCAGGCAGAGTCCCTCCTGATGCAGAAAGTCGCCGAGCTTGCCATGGGTTTCTGCTAGAGTTTATACGGAAACTGACGGAAGAAGAGGACGGGCACGAGTTTGAAGAGGCACTGAAAGATGATGTACTGGAGGTGAAAGAGCTAGAAAATGAAGAAGAAGCACCAGTTCTGTCTGATCTTTGCCTCTGAGCATCCACTGTCCTGTTTTGCTGACTTGAACCCATTCCTTGCTGGTCAACGGTACGTTCCCTACCCGTGTTGCCTGCTAAGCTGGTCACTGAAGACCCAGGCAAAGTACTGCTACTGCTGTCACTGCTACTATTTGCACTGGAGGTACTGTCCCTTTTAATTTTTGGTATCCTTGGTAATACAGAAACATCCACCCATACAGGCTTTGGAGGGGGCTTTCTGACAGGCAGTTGTCGGGCAGTTCCCTCCTGGTCTTGATGGGGAGAGTCAGAAGAGCTATTTGACACCCTTGAGAGCGGTTGACCTCTAATCCCATTAGTGCTCAAGTGACCATTTCCAGGTCTTGGTGGATTTAAGGTGATTGGCCTGTGAAGAGCACATGGATGCAGATTGGGATGACCCAAGGGAGATGGGTGAGAGTGTATTGGTGGAGATGTGGGATTCTGTGGTGTGGAACAGGACCCATGAGAATTGTGTACTAGTGGAGGCCTCCTCAATGGGCTGGAGGAAGGACCAGCCTGTTCAGAGGGGTGGATGAGACTTGTTTCTGTGTTTGGTGTGTTTCCTGGTTCCCCTGAGCCTGATTCTCCAGGGGTAGTGTTCATTGGCAAGGACAGGGACACTGAAAGGAACGAACAAACATTTGACTTTTGAAAGGATTACAGTCATGCAACATCAAGTCAATTATTGCTAAACCATGAACAGGTGCATTTAGGAAGTACAAAAATGTCTGGCTTATGTTTGTGGCTGCAAATAGATGATATATCTATATATCTGAATATATATATATATATATATATATATATATATATATATATATATATATTAGGGCTGGACATTAACAAATTTCACGATTCGATTCACAAGCTTGCGATTAACTTTCGATTACAAGATTTAAATTACAAGTTTTTACAATAATAACGTTATAATATTAAATCTTGAATGACAATTATGTTTCTACTCTGTTTTTGTTTTTTAAAGTATAAACAATCAATTGGTGGCTGTCACATGAAGAATTTATTTAAACCTTAAATATTGAAGAACAGGTTAAGAAAACATACAATGAATATGCAATAGAGTTCATATATTTATCAAAATGCTCCTCTCTAAGTTTATGTTTCTAGCTGACTAACGAGTTTTTGGACAATGAATGGCTTTTGAAGTAAATATAACATTACGTGACTTTGTTCTCAAGCATTAAACATTATTGACGTATTTCAAGCGAATCGCACCACAGTTCCAGTGCATCTGAACTCAGTCCACCTCCTACAGGTCATCTCAGGTTCGGTACCCTGGTGCGCTTGACAGCTTTCACATTACCAATTTTTCACACGAACAGTATCCCGTTTCGAACTAAACTGCCATTGTGAAAGCACCCAATGTCTCCAAAGCATGACTTACCGGGTTTGGTTGCTTTGAGGGAACCATCTCTGTTGATGACCACATCAGAACTGTCCATGAGGAGCATGCTCTGACCACTGAGGATACTCCCCAGCAGGTCTGATACAGGGGCAACATCTTCTTCCTGTGGGACACTCACACCTTGCCTGGAAACCACCACACAACCAGGATTTAAACACCCATTTAATCCTCAAACATATTTTCATTGTGATTTTCATCACCTTGAAGTAGAAATCATCTGTTTCCTCCATCGTGACCATAAAGAGTGATTCCCCCCCTCTAGTAGTTACCTGGAGAGGCCGGCAGAAATGGGTCTGGCCACAGGCTGATGGGACCGCAAGGCAGAGCGGGAGAGGCCACGGCGTTTAGCTTCCAGAAGAGAGGATGGTGTTGGAACTTGATTTTCATCCTCCCTAACAAGATAAATTGGAAGATTAACTTAGACACTCAAGCACTCACTACTTAAAAATAGTAGCCAAATATAAAATATAAAACCAATAGAACTTCACCTATCATCAATGGGGTCCAGGTCAAAGGGATCTCCGTACACAGAGAGGGAGGCTGCGCCGATTTCTGCCCGCATACTTCCTAAACTGTACTCTGAAGGCCGATAAACTGAGGGAATAATGGAACCAGCCTTGGGCTTCTTAATCCCTAAACTCCGTGCAATACGACCTCGGGAATTAGTTTCCTTCTTTTTGACCTGAAGCGGCAAAACAGTTTTGGTTTTATCACTTTTTTGCCAGATATAAAATTGCAAACTTTCACGCATTCTTGCATAGAAGAGGTAAAGCAATACTTTTAATCAGCAAAACATTTATATTTGAGCTTTCAAAAACCCATAAAAGCAACCTTTCAACAACCCAAAAATAAAGAACAAAAACTGTAAAAATGTTGTGGTTCTACATCTGCCAAGCACTTACCAGTTTTCTTCTAAATTTTGTTTTCCTCCCTCTGCGTTTCCGTCTCTTCACTCCCATGCTTTTTGTTGTTTTCCCCCCAGAGATTGCTGAGGATTTGCTTTTGGTTTTCCTTCTTCTAACTGGTAAGAGAATCCCATTTAGATCAGACAGAATCACACCCAGGTTAATGAAAACTAAAACATTGATTACACATAGTATTATGATCCATTTCAGGTTAACCAATGGCCAATAGTAGGTAGTAACACACGTCTCAAAAGAGTCTTCTGTAAACCATGTGTTATTTTCAGTGTTGGGGAAGTTACTTTTAAAAAGTAGTGTAACTCGTTACTTCTTTAAAAAAGTAATCCGTTACTTTACTTAGTTACCCCATATAGAAAGTAACTTTTTACGTTACTCATTACTTTTACGTTACTTTTATGTTGCTTGACTTTGGGCAGAACCCAATATCTGTTCCTAAATGTGTATGCCTACATAAAGTTCTACTATGCATAATGCCATATATAATGCCATAAATGCATAATGCATTTATCAAAAATTGTAATATTTATGAAGAAATGCCGGTTAATGGATAGGCATATGCATGGGCGGCGCTAGGGAGGGGCTAGAAAGAAAGCCCCCAAGAAAGACCAAAGCACCCCTGAACCGCATGGTGAAGAAAAAAAAAGAAAAATGTATCTTGTTATTTAGACATAATAAGGGGACATTCTAATCTGCATTAAGCCAAATTAAGCGTTCTTATAATGTTTTTCTATGGGAGGAAAATGCTTAACGTGTAAGTAAACACGTTGCGTTCATATTCTGGGCTCATCTGATTTTTTGTACATAGTATAGCCTACTTTATTATGATTTTAGTATAATAATGATTAATAAATGCACGCACAATTATCCGTGAACTTGATAAATGTTGCAGATATGTTTTACTATGCACGTAAAGTAACAAATGCCTTTCAACTTATGTGTGCAAAATTCAGAATTAAATGAATGTGCAGCAATATACAAATAGAGAGTCTGTAGGCCTACTATAGCCTACGTGTTGTAGCCATTAAATAAGCGCATTAAGTTTCATATTTGCTAAAATATTATAATGTTATTTTTTTTTCCATCTATGCTGATTATGAAAAGTGAACAGCGCGAGTAAGATGGATGCGCAATATATCGGGAGACATTGAGTCAATCAGACATGATTTTGACCACTTCATTAAGTTTTGTTTTTAAGAAAGCCTTTCTTTTAAGCGAATTTCGTTTTGTATAAATTGTATCTTAATTTTAATCAATTTTTTATCAACCAAAAGCCTGGATTTAATAAATAAGCAGCAAATATAGGAGACAATATAATCATGGAAGTGCCTGCGTGGTCACTTGCATTGCACGTGAACTGGAGCATCTCATCATAAATTAACCGAAACTCAACGTATAGAATTTAAGCTTGAAATGTCTTTAAACGAAACAAAGAAATAGGCTACTCTCTGAGTAGTTCACTACAGAGATGGCGATCGCAGTCAAATCTATCAAATGACGGAGATCGCTGTCAAATCCCAGGGACAGATAATCTGTCCCTGGGGAAAGTAACGTTGCGCCGAATTGAAAAAGGAACTACGTTTCGTTACCAAATTTTTGGTAGTAGCGCGTTACACTACTTTTTACCCGAAAAAGTAGTTACGTTACTGTAACGCGTTACTTTGTAACGCGTTACACACAACACTGGTTATTTTAGAGTAGGGTCTCTGATTTCAATACTGCTGTCAAAAGTTCGGGGTAATTATTTTTCTTTGAAATAAATAAATACTTTTATTCAGCTAGAATGCATCAAATTTATCAAAAGTGACATTAAAGACCTTTATAATGTTGTTCTTTTGAACTTTTTATTCATCAAAAAGCATTGATAAAAAATTGCTTCCACAAATATATTCACTATATAGTCACTCTGTGGTGAAAATCAAGTTTTTAATGTTGTTTATATGTCTATATGGTGTTTTTAATATGCTTTAAGACAAACCATGTGTAAATTCATGTCAACACCATTGTTTGTATTTTCTCCTTAAACCTGCAGTGAAAGACGCGGTTTGAAATCCCTGGTGTTTCTAACTTTACAAACTACCTTGTAACCAATCACATCATCGTGCCGGCGGGCTTTAGCATATCATTAGCTATGACCGCTCTGAAGCAGTGGAGTCTCGAGAAATGCCAGGTTATCCCGGCATATTTTTCTGTTGATATGAAAAAGCGGCTACATTTAGCAATATAGTGGGTGTATGATGTATATTATGATGAACTTTCTCCACTGACGTTTTAAATTGTTGTTCATGATACTGATTCTGAGATGGCGAACGGGAACACGGTTTGTGTAACATTAGTAACACACTATTAGCTGTTTGATAGTGTAGTCAAGCCAAAGGCAAATCATATTAATTACCGGTATGTGTCCGACGTTGTAAAGAGTGATACCATTGTGCAGCAATTACCTCAGTAAGTTGACTGAGTGGATCTCTGAGCTGGTGTGAGTGAGTGGAGGCGGGGCTAATTTGCATATTAATGGATCCGCGTGTACTAAATGAAGCAACGGTGTAGAGTTACATTCAAGCTATTTTAAGGCATGAAAAAGAATTTTCCACAGGAAAAAACTTTTAAATATGTAATTTTGGTGATCAAAGATAAAAGTATTGACTACAGGGGGACTTTAAGCAGCACAACTGTTTTCAACATTGATAAGAATTTTTTCTTGAACACCAAATCATCATTTTAGAATGATTTCTGAAGGATTATGACGCTGAAGACTGGAGTAATGATGCTGAAAATTCAGCTTTGATCACAGGAATTACATTTTAAAATAATATTACAATAGAAAATGGTTATTTGAATTTGTAATATTTCACAATATTACTGTATTTGATCCAATAAATGCAGCCTTGTTGAGCATAACAGACTTCTTTCCAAAAGCATTTAACAAATCTATACCAACCCAAAACTTTTGAACGTTTGTGTACAACAATCACCACATATGTGTTGCTGCATAAAAAGTACAAAAAAACTTTTCTCCCACAAATATATATATATATACACAGAGTTTTTTTTTTTTAGATTGGAGTATTTTCAGATTTGACATTTACCTAAACGAATCTTAATACCAGGTGTAAACGGTGGGTCTATTTGTCTCACCTGTCTTTCTCCTCCGGCGGGTTCTGGAGTGAGGGGTCAAGTCTCGCACATACACGGCTGTGCTGAGTCCAGACACTACAGCATTGATGGTCTCATCCAACCATGTGGACTGCATCATGTATCTGGGAGTAAGCTAACACACAATACCACACAAATCAAGCACTCACTTAGCTCACAACAGTACAGCACTGCACAAAACATTCCCAAAGTTTAATAGAGTTTGTTCAATCACAAAACCCAACCATATGAGCAAAAGTAAGTGATTTTTTGTTGTTCATGCTTGTTCCAGCATTTAAGTATCCCATTCACTTGTATTTGAACAAAACAACATAAACATCCAAAGTATCCAGTTGTTTAAGCATTAAACAAACCAGTTAGACCTGCTTCATCATCCCAGTGACACACAAATCTCAGCCATTATTACACACTTGTGATTAGAGAGCAAAGCAAAAGCATCATGCAAACCTCCGCTGCTGTGCGTGCCTGTGTGATGCGATGTCTGTTGACGTTGGCCCGAACTCGTTCGCTCTGCTGGGTCCGTGCGATCGCTCGGGTCGGTCTGGCCCGGGAACGGCTGGTGGTGGGGAGAGAGCTGCTCTCCTCCTCACTAATATGTTCAGAACCTAAAATAATTAGATGAAAATTATGGTTATTACTACAAATATGTAACAAATCTTAAATGTAATGTTAATGTAACAAGTGGTTGTGAGAAATGAAAGATGACCTGATGTGCGGTTGCTGGCGACGCACTCTGGGCAGAACCATTCCTCCACAGGAACCGCATCCAAAGGCGGCGTGAGACATTCCATGTGGTACCTTTCATAAAAAAGGGAGAATAATATAGAGTAAGTAGTCAAATGGAAATTAACCAATAAAACCGGCGTCCCTGTAAATAGGCGGGGCTAATATATACGACCGTAGATAAAGTATTAAACAACAAACACAAGTTCATCCAGTCAAACACCCTAAATATATATAAATATGGTGGAATGAAAATGTATAAAGAGGAAAACACCTATATTTGACATTCTTGAGCATATTATACATTACTACCATTATAATCATCATCATTATTGATACAAACGATAATAATAATAATATGTAGTTATATGCGCATGATATTTTGAGTGTCTTGCAGTATTAACATTAATGGTTAATTAATTGATCCTTTTAAAATCAGAAGTAATTTGAATGAAGCTGAAGTAGCGACAGATCTTTTCTTCTGTATTGTGACGAATTTCAGAGTAAAACAGATTTTCGAAAAAGAAAAAATGTTGGTTGTTGATTGGATGAAGGCAGATCTGAAAGCAGGTATGAAGCAGGGGTGGAGTTTAAGTGGACCACATGACTGGAGAAGCCGGCATACATCACCACAGAGAAGCCTGACCTCTAACTGGAAGAGCGAGTTTTTACACACATTTTCAATTTCGAAGTAAAAAAAAAAAAAGGTTTGAAAAATGAAACATGCACAAATGATTTCTTCACAATAAGATCAATAACAAGCATTTGGAAAATAGGGTGACTTTTCATTTTATGCCTTTAAAGCTGCTGTAGGTAACTTTTGTAAAAAAATATTTTTTACATATTTGTTAAAACTGTCATTATGTCCTGACAGTAGAATATGAGACAGATAATCTGTGAAAAAAATCAAGCTCTTCTGGCTCCTCCCAGTGGTCCTATTGCCATTTGCAGAAATACACGCTCCCGGTCAGAAACAACCAATCAGAGCCAGGAGGAATGTCTTAGCAGTGTCAATCACGCTCGTGTACGCGCTGATCACACCCCTCTCTTGCACAGCGCGAGCCGTCGTTCAAACTCAAGATTGCCGGCGTGCCGCAGCTGTGCTTATGACGGAGAAACAACCTAAACTGCCAATTCTCGAGTGACACCTGCTCATAAAACAAAGAGGTAAAAGGAAAAATACAGATGACGATAAACAAGCGAAAAAGAAAGAATTAGACAGAGCCCATTGATTCGGTGTCAAAACTCTAGCCGCATAACATGTAGATAAAATGTCACGCACTCTGCTAAGCAACAATTGAAACCTGCTAATTCACTGGCTTGTCATGTTGCTGAAATAATGTACTAGCACACCTTATCTAGCATTATATATCGCTAGAATAATTACTTACATACTGTAACGTTAGTTACCGTTATATTAACGTTATCTTACTAGCTATTTATAACTTATAGAAAGAGTGCAACGTTATAAAGTTACATGTATTGCAAAATACATAATGATTTGAGGACCAAGTTTGTAGTCAAAGTATGGGCAGGCCATAGTCAATGTAAAGCATATTGTTGACGTTTAGTCCCTATTAGTGAATGTGCCATATAACTTTTTATCCGCCGTCATCGGTGGCCCTGTTTACTAGCCTGTGCGTTCACGACAGGCTCCGCTGTGGAGGACGAGCTGTGGAGGGAGGGCTGTAGCGCAGCAGAGAGCAAGGGGGTGGGACCTGTAAGTTGTGCTTGTTCAAATTTTCAGGCTAAGTCAACGTTTTCTCAAAACTCCCTACTGCAGCTTTAATGATACCATTTTTTGACTATTCCTGAAACCTTAAAACCCTTTTTCCGATTTTAAAACGACACTGTATATTTTCAATTCATTGTCTATAAAACGTTTGTCAGTGTCATTATTCAAATCCAAAACGCAGCTTAAAGGTGCATTGCGCACGTCTCTGAGTTTTTGCAGACCTATCCCCCCTCTGGCGACAAGTGAAACTGCCTTACTGTCTTTATCTTACGTGGAGTTTGCGTTGGGGTTTGGAATGAACTACAAGGAGTCTTTGAATCCATCTTCTACTTTTGTCGAAAGTTGACTAAAGTTTTGTCGCTCGAGTTGTCTTCGCTGATACGGAGAATGGCGGCGAATACACAAACCTGCCAGACATAGCCAGGTGAGCGTGACGTCAGCCCAGTCTCAAATTCCCTCCCGAATCCCTCTTATTTATTTTACTGTACAGGATTATAGAGGCAATCGCAGTGATCAGAGAAGGGCTCATTCAGCCCATCAGGCAATTGTTTAAGCATGTATGGGTTAGAAAAACGGGTATTTTTAACATGAAATGTTGCGCAATGCACCTTTAAGTAACAAATAAGCAGTTGGCACATGTACCTCTGCACTGGCCAAGAGGACTAATCAGTCATTTGTGATCAATGGGTAAGGAGATTATTTAATTATTTTATAGAGATTACTGGGGCAAACTGATCCTTTTGTAAATCAGAAACAATCTTCTGAATTAATAGATTAAAAACTCTTATACGTCTCATTTACAAAAGGTAAAGGACTCACCTGCTTATTAGCTAGTGTTCCTGAAAACCTTAATTAACTCGTTCAGGTGTGTTTGATTAGGGCTGGAGCTAAACTCTGCAGGAAAGTGGATCTCGAGGGCCACATTTGCCCACCACTGTACTAGACCTAAGCCAATGTTATTGAGTGTTTTTATTATCAAGTCAAATAAAAACACTCAACCTGCTTCATTTACATTACACACTCCAGGAAGGCTATAAAGTTGATTATGAACATAAAAAATAACCAAGGCAAAACACCAAAAGTCCACAAGTCATTGGTGCTCTTTGCCCAAATGAGTGTCTCAGTTACCCCTTTTCCACCAAGGCAGAGCTGGTGCTGGTTCGGAGCCAGAGCCTAGTTTCAAATCAGTTCTTTGTTTTTCGACCACCAAAGCACCAGCTCCGAACCAGTAAAAGTGGTTCTTAAGTAGCACCAAATCATTGCTGGTCTAGAAGTAAGAACCGCTTACGTCAGCGGCTGGGGGCGGGGTTACCGTGACCAACAAGACGAACAGAAACTTGTTGTGACCGCCATTTTTTAAATAGCAGCTAATCATGCTAATAGCAGCTTGATTGTAATCTCCGTTAAAGCAAGTTACGGCGAGCTGCACTAATGTGCTGGATTCGCCGTGTTTGGATACCGATGTAGGTTTGCAAAGCCATGAGTAACGCAACGACCGCCATTGTTGATGGAAGGCTTGTTCGAGATGCATCGGAGCGGCGTGGACTGATCGGAGCTGCGGGAGTGTTTGGAGAGCATTCGACTCCTTCTGCTTTTGGATCGCTCTCGCAGTTCGAGATTCGCAGTGCCAAACCATCTCGAACAAGCCTGGTGTGTTTGTGTGTGCCGCGCTAGCGTTGCTGGGCAACATGAGATGTATACAGTGACGTAAGATCTGGCTCTGTGATGGCTCTCTAGCCTGTGGAAAGGCAAACCGGTTCTTTGAAAGCTCGTCAGTCGAACCAACTCCGAACCAGCACTAGCTCTAGCTCTGAACCAGCACCTGGTTCTTGTTGGTGGAAAAGGGGTAAGTATGTATTACTATAGTGAATTTATATATTTATTTTATATTCATCTTTTATTTTAATATTTAAAGTACTATACAGTACCGGTCAAAAGTTTGGAAACATCCAAGTCATGCGACTCAAGTCCACAACCCTGGTTTGTCAATTCATTTCTTACCCAGCATCACAGCCATCACACAGCAGGAGGCGATCTTCACGGTCTCGACCCCCGCAAACCTCACAGCTGGTCTGATCCAAGTCCAGCTCCACCTGTTCCTCCCCAGGTTTTACAGGCTTCTTAACTGCAATCTAAGCACACACAAACTACTCAAAACACACCACTACAAAATACTCTCCGATCTGCTTAACTGAGGCTGATATTATGGTATGCTCATTGCGCCCTTCAAGTGGAGTCGGAAAATTCGTAATTACGATGCCCAAGCACATGAAATGACAGAGAAAAGTTATATTTAGAAAGGGGGAAAACTCATAATACACAAGTTTTACATTATAAGCGATTTGAAACACTGATCTATAAATCTACAGAGATCAGTGAGCGGGTCTAATAATCACTCAACTTCACATTTGTGAAACCATGTTGTGATATCATGTGATAGAAATCAATATTTTTCAACATTTTGAATTCAGATGTAGTTATTTGGGTTTATTATTCACAATATATTTCTTTCAATGGGGAAAACGTGAATGGAATCACAGAATCCTGTCATAAAATTGGAATTTACTGTATAACACAATGTCGTGGAAACAACAACCCTGAAGGACAGATCTGGTATGGGATGGGACTCACTGTTTTTTTAACTTTCCCGCCATGGCACTTTCTCAGGAAAATGTTCTCAAAGACTATTCGGTCCACAGGACAGGAGTTGGCATTCTGAAAACAACAATACAAATAAAAGGTGACATTACTGTTTATGAACAAGGGTTATTATAGTTAACTTAAACCATTAAAAACATTTTTGTTACTTTAAATAAAATAAACGTTAACTGACCTAAAGAAAAAACTTCTTTAAAAACAACTTATTTTATTTCAGCTAGTTGCTAAGGTAATATTTTTTAACGATGTACTTAAATTAACTTATAAAATTAATTAATTGTATTAAAACTGAAATAGAAATTATATAGGCGTAAAAAAAAACCACTAATAAAAATGACAAAAACAAACAAAATGATAAAAAATTTTAACAAAAAATATATATAAAAACACAAACAAATCCAAATGAATTAATTCATAAAATGAAAAAATAATAATAACTCTGATAGTCCGTCAATGATCATCGGGGTCCAAGCACTAGTGGCTGATGTGGATGATTAGAGACACAACTTAAATGGATCTTACGATGTTGTTTTTATAGCAAAGTCCATCTTGAATCTTCACTGAAAGTTAAGGTTTGATCATAAAATGTGTGGACATATTTTCAACATTTAAATTTAGATGAATCGCACGTCATAGGACAAATTCAAACGAATGTGAAGATATAATTTGCAGCTCAAAAGCTTTTATCTTAAAGGTGCCCTAGAATGTGAAATTGAATTTATCTTGGCATAGTTAAATAACAAGAGTTCAGTACATGGACATGACATACAGTGAGTCTCAAACACCATTGTTTTCTCCTTCTTACTTAAATCTCGTTTTTGAAAAACACCCCTGAAAAATAGGCGAATCTCCACATAACACCGACTGTGACGCAACAGTCGGGATCATTAATATGTACGACTCCAAAAATTTGCATATGCCAGCCCATGTTCAATGCCAGGCGGAACTGCGCAGCCGAAGCATAGCAGTTGCTCAGTGTTTGGATGTACACATGAACACAAGTATTTTTTATTTCCTTCATCCGAGCCTCTGAAGAAACAATGGGTTAATTTTATTTTCTATGGAAATTTCCAAACATTTCACTGACGACTGTTTCCTCAACTTGGGCCAATACAGAGCTGGCCTCGGATCGAGCTACCAAGCAACACTTTCTGATGTGTAATTGTTCAAGTTCAGACAGGTAATCTTTCTCTCAAAATCGTTCAATACTGTTTATGCATCAGTAAGTCAAGCCAGTGACTAAAATATCAACTTCACATCGTTTCTTTTAGTAGGATGAAAAAAAAACTTATTTAAATTGTGAATAAATTATATAAAGAAAGCGATCAAAGAACAATCTTTCCACAGCGCGAGTTTATCTGGACACTTGCCAAACTCGTTGTGACTTCAATGACGCACGTTACACTGCGCAACGAAGCTCTTACTGTATTTACATGATCGTGTTTGCATTGGTGAAAGCATTAGAGAGAGTGCAGAAACTGCATTGCAATGATAAGATCTTCATGCTCGCGATCAACAGACTGTCATCTGCTGCTCAATGCTCAGTCATCACGGCAACATTGTATGTGATGGGAATAGATCTAAATACTTTAAAAACATCTCACGATTCGTTAATCTCGATAGCTGTAATAGTAAAAACGTATAATAGCTGTAGTAAAATTATTCGAGAGAGTTTCACATGTAATACATAGCTATTTCATATGCAAGCATGTCAGCCAATCACAGCAGAGGCCGGTTACACACAGCAGACACGCCCCTTCAAACAGAGCGTTCAAATCAGAGGCTAAAATCAGGCTAGGAAAAATGCCTTTTATTTCTAAATTATGACTATTTTTGATCTAAAAAACATACTAACATTATAAGGGCAACCCAGGAAACATTATAAAATAATATAAAAAAACATTCTAGGGCACCTTTAAGGCCCTTATCATTTTTTATAATTTATCTCTATATCCGTTGCCTCATAAACTTATGCATGCAGTTTAACACATCAGTGTTTGTTTTATTATTCACAACAATAAATGTCCATTGCTTAAGCTCCATTGCTATACGTCACGGTTTTCGTCATTGCAGTTTCCCGAACACACACGCAAGAAATTAAATGTGTTTAGCCCAACAATATGTTTTTAATTCTCCTTTTTGAAATTTCTCTCAGATCTGTTTTAACTCCATTGCTGCTTAAACAAGTGGACCCCACAACTGCGTAGCTTAATGAGTCTACAAACTAGTGCCTTGAAAATTAAGTTCTAAACACGTTAATATTTCCATCATGTTGCAAAAACCCTCTTATAAGGATAATATATTTTAAGCAATATCTCATGTAGGTGTTCATATATATATATATGACATGACATATAATGACCACTAGGAGGTGCTCTAGGCATATGTTTTCCTTGATTGGTTTACCCTGAAGAGATACAAGTAAAACATTGACGCACGTTTGTTGTGTTTTATCGAGAAATGAGAGTTAAGTGTCTTTATTAAAATCAACGGATTATCAATGGATAATGGATTATCTGCAGTGTCCACAGATATAACCGCGATCCGCGCATCACTAGTACAAATCCATACATTTTTTAATGGTAGGCCATTCAGATGTGATGCTTTTAGCCACTGAAATTCGATTGCCTGCTGGCGGTCATGTTTTTTGGGGGTTTTTTTTAAGGTATCGGAGTCATATTATAGGATATGGTTTTAGGGTTCCAAAATCCAAACTGCCACCTTACAGTGCCAAATAGTCACGGACGGGTGTGTGTCAGTGTGTCCGAGTAGCCGTGCTCAATTGGGACCATTCTGCCAATTTTGGGGTCTCTACGATTTACGGTCTTTGACGCCATACACTTTTAGGGAGGAAAAATAAGAACATCAGTACAAACGCAATAGTGTCCCAGCACTTCAGTGCTTGGACCCCTAATAAAATAACAGTGTTATGAATAATACTGCATCAACCATAAAGTTGTTTGGTTACACTTTATTTTGATAGTCCACTTTAGACATTCTACTAAATATAAGTAACTTTGCACCTACTTGTCAACTAACACTCAGAGTATTAGTAGACTGTAGTAGACTGTCAGTGGACTGGTAGGTTATGGTTAGGTGTTAGGATTCGGGTTAGTAGAATAAGTTGACATGTAGTTGCCAAGTTACTTCTAGTCAGTGGAATGTCTACAAAATAAAGAGTTAGCAAATATTAAGCATACATTCTACTAATACTCTAATGACAGTTAGTTTACATGTGGCTGCAAAGTTACTTATAGTCAGTAGAATGTCTAAAGTGGACTATCGAAATAAAGTGTTACCAGTTGTTTCCCCAGTATTTGCATATTATGAATAATGCTGAATAACTGTAGAGAATCACTGGCCAAATATGGACGAGATCTTAATGCACGAGTTACGTAAAGGGTTTAAGCTTGTCAATCTTACCTTCGACCATTCCAGAATGCAGTCCAGACAGAAGTAGTGTTCGCAAGACTCCGGTGTGGCCACGGGCTGCTCGTGGAAGGAGTTCAGGCAGATTGGGCATTTCTCCGAGTCCTCGTCTGAGCTCAGGTCAGCTGCATGCACAGGAGCGTCCCCTGCAGCCGCTGCTTCCAGGACGTTACCAGAGTCCTCATCTGAGGAAACAGGTGCGGCGCTTGAGTGCTTTTCCTCCCGGGTTTGGTTGAAGATTGTGTGTTATGATATGCACATTTTAAGGCAAAACGCAAACACATCACTCCCAACGATTTAAGGTCCACGTGATCTGATATCGGCTGGAAAGCACTTTATAAGACTGATATTATATTGTATAGTTAGAAACGCTTTTGGTTAGATTAGTTTTATTTTAGCTTGGATTCATAATAAAATGTAGTCAGTAAGAAACGGAAGTTGCAATCATCTTTTCTTCTATATTGTGAAGATGAAAATGAAATGAAACGAAGGAGAAATTGTTTTTGATTTTTGACTCGATTATTTCCATCCAGAAATGACTGATTGTTGTCATTTGCTAATTGCTCTCGCAAGTCGTTTTGATTAAAGATTACGAGGGCACGTTAACTTAAAAATATATATATTGATATGCATAGGGGTCAAAAATTAACTTTTCAATTAAGGGGCAATATTTATTTTTTACCTTTGTAAGGGCAATTTTTATAATTCCCTAATTAAATGTATCTGTGTTGTTGTTGTTGTTGTTGTTTTTTGTCAAATATTTAAATTGAACCAGTTCCAATCAATCACAATGCTACAAATTCTTTTGAGCATCTTTATATTGCAACGGTGAAACAGAAGCAGCATCTGATATGCCATTTTTGTATATTTACACAGAATGTTTAATGCTGTTTAATGTAAATATATGTATGATTATTTCTCTTGATATTAGAATAATGATTATTAATGTTGATTAAAAGAATGTTTTTGTGGGGGAAAAGCACATCATATTCTGGCTACAAGACAAAACAAGCTAAGAACCATTCATCAATTAGTTTATTGCTTTTTACGGATTAGAAAATCAAGACTTCACATTGGTTATTTCAATAGCATGAAAAACAAAACAGTTATTCAAATTGTGAATAATGAATGCAAGCAAAGAATACCGAAGCGAGTCAAGTTATGCACTTTCACAAAAACTCCCGTTACAATAACTGAAACAGTCTACACTGTAAAATGAATCTCTTATTTGCATCTTTTCTGCACTTTGTTGTTTATGATGAGAATTTGTGCGAATGCAGGTTCAGAATTCAGTGCACTGAACAACTCTGAATCTAATTGGACATTGCATTCATAAGTTGAACAGAAACGTGTGTGCTTGGTTATAATGCTCAACACTGCATATGAAATATGATGCAACATGAGCAAATCTACTGTAAATGTAATGCCGCAATCGATACTTTTCATTCATTTTACATTGCACTTTAATCGTGATCTAGCTCAACTGTGAGGGGCATTTTTGCCCCAAGCCCCCTTTAATTTCCAACTCTGATGTGCATAGACAAATAATTTGTAATAAACACAATAAAAATATTCCATAAAAAAATAAGAATGGTAAATTTAGGTTTTATGGTGACTTTAACATTTAAAGGTAATTCAATCAAAGACATTATTCTGGCAGGTGATACAATCATTAAATACATATTACAAATCGCTTTAGAAGTCAATATTCTGTTTTTTACATTTCAATTCGTTCAATATAATTAACTTGTTAAATTGACAAGCATAAAAAAGTCAATACAAGCATGTTGAAGTTAAATCTTACTTTCACTTTCACCCTCATCTTCCTCCTCCTCTCCATCAAGGACATCCTCCTCTTCTTCTTCTTCATCATCATCCTCCTCCTCCTCCTCACTGCCTGTTTCTCTTTCCTCTGATTCCCCCTCGTCTTCTGAATTGTCCTCTGAATTGGAATGACATGCAGGAAGAGAAGTCACGTAAAGTGAAAGAGGAAACTAAATAAAAATATGTTTATAAAATGCAATAAAGCCTACTATATCAAATTTCACATATTTCCAAGGCCTCCAAATGATCAACATGACGACTTTGCTGAAAAACCTGATGTACACAATCTACTACATACTTTCTGTCGTCTGATTGATAGTTCATATATTTTTAGCAAGTAAAAGGTCTTCTAGTATAATAATAAAAATGTCTCCCTGGAAGTCTTTTTTTGTGAAATCTTTACTGATTTTCTTTATTTTGTTAGTAATATTTCAAGATGAACACTTACTGTAACTGAACTGAAGCAACTTTACTTGATTTATCCATATATCAAGTATGATACAAAACTTTTTTTTTTTTACTTTTTTTTCACATGTCAGACTTTACAGGGTTAAATAGGGTCTACATAATGTAAGGTCCACCACACATAGGCTTCTCTGTGTTGTTCCATTTGCTGACACAAGACCACTAACCGTCATCAGAGATAATGGACATGGCAGGTCTTTTTCCTTTCCCATGGGAGACGTTCCTGTTGATCAGCTCATCCTGGCTATCCTCCTCATCCATGGTTATGCACTGATTTAATCTAGATATTTTTCAGTACTAAACAACCTGTAGGGCACATAAGCATTATCTAATGTGAACATCCACTCCAAATGTGACCATTATGTAAATAGTGTCAAACGGAATTAATAAATCAGAAAAATACAATAAACCAGACTGACTAACTTATCTTCATAGAAATAATTTATCAACACCCATCTGATAGATCAGTGTATTCATTTTAAAACACAAGATCACACAAACTATTAGTTTAGATTTTTCACGTCAGGCTTAAATGTCCTCTTGATTTTGTCGTTTGATACAGATGGTTCATTGCACTCAATGCTTCTATTGTACGGACATGTTATTGACTCGATGCTAACGGCTAACATCAAGACAGCTAATAAAAACACTAACCTGCTTCATTTTACCCACACATTCCAGGACAATGATAATGAGATTGTAAACATAAAAAACATTCAATGCAAAACACCAAAAGTCATTTTATTTAGTGAAAGTGAGCCTTGTGCACTTGCACCATAGCTAATGCTAAAGCTAACACGCTATCGGTGTTTCTTGTCCTTAGTCTAAATTTAACTCATCAGCTGTTTTTGTTATATGTACTATCCAGGCCCTATAGAGCAGCTTTTATAGGCGGTAAATGTCTCATTTATTGAATTCATCTGGGAGGTTATAATATTGAGTATTTGTACCTACCCTGTAAGGTTGTATAAGACATTATTTGTGTTTTGAAGTCCACTCGGCGTTTGTCTTTGACGCTACCGGTTGGAGAAATTACGAATCCTACTATGGCAAGGAATTGCTCATGAATATTAATACAAGTTTCGTGAGGTCCGCCCAATAGGCTTTATTGCTGTCAAATTTTACAATTAATTCTACTTGGGTAAAGGTTTTGGCTTATTGTGAATATTAATTAGCAAGTTTACCAAGCAAATTCAGCACGACTAGATTCATATTAAGGGGTTCAAGAAACCCTTAATTGTTAGGATTTGTATTATTATTTGCAATTGCAATTTGGAATCATCAGCCAACACACAAAAGCCTGTTTTTAATTAATAATAAAACTTTTAAATGTTCCACATGGATTGTAAATTGTAATTTTTCTATCTCTTGCAATTAATCCAAATGATTCAATAAGGTTAGAAGACAACATACAAACTGCAGCGCATGGGATATTAAAAATAACAACTGTCCATGTCCAGCCTCCACTGATGATTATTTTCATGCATTCTGGCTTTGTCCACTTGTTCCGTCAGTCTGGTCGAAGGTCATGAGCTGTCAGACATCCTTGGGCTCAGCATCCCAGTTTGTCCCATAATAGCTTCACTGGGAGATATCTCTACATTACAGATTTCTAATCATCTCTCAACCCATTTTTATTAAACGTACTGTCCATAGCAAAAAAACAGATTCTACTTAATTGGAAAGACAGAACTCTCAATAAATCATTGGCTCAATTATTATTAGTACACTCAAACTTGGAGCAATTAACTGCATTTGGACATATAGATTCATTCAAACAAACCTGGTCCCCTTTTTTCAATATTTCAACTGATTCCTCTTTGTCATAAACCAGAAACTCATAGGAACATTTTGTGCCGCTTTATATAACACATGTAGCTTATATCCTGTCAGCTTGTGTCGATTACTAGTTTTCTTTTCATAATTTAAATTCTACTGCCCTTAAATTTGTTGTCTTCTTTTTCTCTTTTTTCTTTGTTGTCTTTCCAGTATTTCAGTATTTGGTATATTTTGTGTTTGATATAAATGACAACAAACTATTTCTATAATAGATAAATAAGTATTACTTAATATACTGTTCTACAATTATCTTTAGAATGATATCATTTATATATTATAATGTTCTATATGCTATACTTTCATTTCTTTTCTATATATGTAAATTTTGCATATAATTAGGGGCCAAGCACCAAAGGTGCGGAGGCACCTATTGTATTCGTTAGCGTTCTTATTATTCTTCTTCTTCCGACTGGGCGTCTATGGCAGCCCATAGAACCAATTGCGGGAAAGTTGTTATGGTTTGATAATATATTCTGATAGAGGACAGTTCCAACATTAAATACACCAATTTTGGTGTCTCTAACTCAATCCCTCTAGCGCCACCACTTGTCCAAAGTTTAAAAATCATTATGCTAATAACTTTTGAACCGTAAGGCCTATCAACAAAATTATTTTTTCCTCTGATTCCTGAGCTCATGACGATTCGATTACATCCTATGACGTCATTTTCCGTCATAACAATATGGCCGCCATTTTGAATTGTCCAAAAAACCTACTTTTGCAAACTCGTCCTAGACGGTTTGTCCGATTTTCACCAAAATTGCACCAGATCATCTCCAGGCAGTGCCGACAAAAATTAAGCAATTCAAGTCGATTTGTCAAACCGTTTTCGCTAAACGCACAAACTAATTTTACGTAGCGCTTGCGAAAACAGACGTAAGGCTGTATCTCCGCAACGCTTAATCGAATTCAGACCAAACTTAGTACATGTCATCACAAGCATGACCTGAGGCTACATGCTGCGTTTCGGCGCAGCGCCACCTACTGGTCCGGAGATATGAAAAATGGCTATTTTTGCTCATAACTTCTGAACGCTTTGTCCAAAATCATAAAAGTGGTCTCGTTAGATTCAGGGCGTCATGCCGAGTCGACTGATATCCAATTTTCCCAGATCGGCCATTTTGGCTGTCGGCCATTTTGAATTATGTGCTAAAATGCTGTATTTTTTTGAACGCATGAACGAATTGTTACGAAACTCGGTATGGGTCATCAGTACGATGCCCTGAAGGAGCCTGAGAAGTTTCGAAACAGCGCCACCTAGTGGTAAAATTAATTTTTCAAATGCTTATAACTCTGGGTGTGGTTGGCATATTTTCACGGGAGTCATCTCGCTGGGATCCGGAATCCTTGCCGAGTCCAAAGATACCAAATATGCTTAGGTTTTGTTTATGGTTTGGGTAGCGTTGTAATTTAGCGCTTAAAAAACATTTGCGGATATCTTCAAAACCGCTAGTCCGAACAAGACGAAACCACCGTCAGAAGTACGAAAAAATAGGTCGCTGGCTATACGCTAATGCCCAAATGCCAAAATATTGATAGTAAGGGGTAGTTAAATTCAATCAAAGTCACGTGTCGGTCATTTTTGACGTGTTTTTTCCCATAAATGTCTATAACTCCGAGGCGAATTGAGATATTTTCACCACAATTGACACACAGATGTATGGGCTCACTCTGAGGACACATACAAAAAATGGTGGGACTGAGCCTCTTGGTGGCGCTATAATAGAACAAAACATGAAATTCCCATTGGCTTCAATACAGTTTTGTGATGTAAAATGCTATCCTTAACTAATGCATTGCTGTAACATTACGAAACTCAGAATTTGAGTTGAGGCATGCTGCCAAAATGACTATTAAGTCTTTATCTCTGCTGCAATGCCTTGACATTTTGACACCAAACTTTGTATGTGTCATTGTCACCTCACTCTGACCACATCACATCGATTTCGTAACTGCGCCACTTATTGGTCGAAAGTGATAATCCATTAAATCATCTTAAAAGTTACTGTATATATGATTTTTTAGCCATTTGCCCAAAATTCTCTTAAAATGTCTTTAATTGCTCCTTGCTGCAATTGGTCTGCCACTCCCACCCATAAGGGCATCTGTTGCCGCTTCTTGCGCTTGGCCCCGGTAATGGCTGCTTGCAGCTATATTTGTTATTGCTATTATTATTGTTAGTGGTGGTAGTAGGTAGCAGTGTTGATATTTATATTATTACAGAAAAATGTGTCCTCCATTCCTCTCCCCTTCCTTATAAAATCCGATTCCAAAACATTAGATATAAACACTTATAATTTATACACTCTGCTGTCTGGGTCTGGGTCTCTTATGTGTACTTTTGTGTTTATACATGTCATTGGTCTCTTACTTTATATAAGCAGCTCTTGTAAATAATAAAAAGAAAAATAGTATTATTCTGCCGTAAAACTGATCATCCAGACCAAACCGTAAGGCCTAGAGACCTAAAACCCGGCCAGATGGTAGGTCTCAATTTGGGGAGACATTGGCAAGTTATGACCTCAATTGGCCCATAGGAGGCGCTACATCGATCAAAACCGAAAATTTTCTGGAGTCATCTGCTTTTATGTACATAGTATGGTTCATTAATAAGGTGTGTAGTCTCATTAAGCCACGTTAATCGTTTTTCACATTAAGCGAATGTCCTGCTACTACCGGTATTTGCTTCAGCTTTTCGAATGAAGTATGATAAAGCCATGATAGGCTATATAAATTTGATGTGGATAAAGGTATATTCTGTACATGACTACACATGTCCTTATTAGGCCTAGAAAATATGTTGTTTAAGGACATATCTCATACGAGAAAAAATAGCCTATGTCATTTTAAGGAAATAACATCTCGTTATTACGAGAAAAGATGTTGTCAAAACGATATAACATCTCGTTATTACGACATAATTGAGTGGAGAAAATAACATGTATGTGGTAGCAATCTGCCACCGTAGTTTCATGTATATGCTCAAATATATGTTTGTACACGCAAGTGTTTCACATGTCTGCGCAAGTCTAATGTCAATGCACAAGTGTTTCAATGTGTTTCGTCCCATCCGGCCTCCCATAGTCCTCTGTTGCCATCTGCTGGTTATAATCGTAATTTTGTCATTCTACTTACTAAAAGTTCTTTTCACAGGTTTTGCTTTTGCATGTAGGCATTATAAAAACACTTAAAATCACATTTTGTCACTTGATCACTTCATTTGTACTGAGCTCTCACATAATGATTAATGTGAAACCTGAAAATGGTGATATATTACATTTATGCATTTGGCAGATGCTTTTATCCAAAGCGACTTACATTGCATTTCAAGATAAACATTTTTAAATTCTTATCAGTTCTTGCTTTCCCTGGGAATCAAACCCATGATCTTGACGTTGCAAGCCTGTTTGACCCCGACGTGATACAGAGGAGATTTGCATAAGCCTTTTGTTACATATCATTTATTTCAAATATCTATATCTGCAACAACATGTGTAAGCATGCTTAGTGTGTATTAAGTTTAAGCCTTTCATTCTTTTGTGTGGGTTTTTTGTGTGTGCTGTCGTGTAAGCCTTACATTTTGCGTTGGCCTATAGACCCTAACAACATAGATGGCATGAAGGTCTTAAAAAGCAGCTGAGATATGAAGAAATTGCCGCTATATTCGTGAATTGAACTTTCAAATGTGGAAGATTGTGACAGGCACGCACACACACCATAAAGTTTGTTTACGTTTTTTTGTTTGTTACAATTTTGTTTACTTCTCTAGCCTTCCTTATACTTTTATAAAACATAATGTATACATTTACACTATATTTTTTTCATCAGCTGATCAATATGCATTCTCCAAATTGACTGGTGAATTCTGATATGGTTGTTGTCCCTATTAATTTATTCATTCATTTTAGTCACATTATTCAATTATTTGCATTATTTACTTTATTTAGACACGCAGTAAGAGCATGAAAAAATGCTTTTACGTTCTTTTGTAAAAGTTCGTGCATTACCCCAATAATCTTTATTCACAAAACTTTTGAGGTGGGGGAAAGAAAAAAAAATATTTCAATGCAAAGTTTCTCGAAGGAAAAGCAATACATTTGCAAGAGAACAGAAAAAAGTAAGCGCCCGCTTTTTCCTATCTAATTTTTCCTTTATTTTTTAGGGGCTCCCAGGATCCATATTCGTTAGATTATTTGTAAATGAATGTAAATGGAAAACAATTCTAAAAAAGAATTTTCAAAATGACTTTTAGCGCCATCTCTCTATCTCTCTCTCTCTCTCTCTCTCTCTCTCTCTCTCTCTCTCTCTCTCTCTCTCTCTCTCTCTCTCTCTCTCTCTCTCTCTCTCTCTCTCTCTCTCTCTCTCTCTCTCTCTCTTTTCTCTCTCTTCCCCCCTTCTCTCTTTGCATCCTTCGTACGTGCACATCCACACTAGCTTCATGGCTTTACAATACACAGGCGAACAGAGTCCAACCACTTTCAAGACGCGGGTGGAGCTCTTTTTTTCAAAAACACGTAAAAGCAATATATAATTGTATCAGCTGAGAAATAGTACATGAGAGTCCACTTCCAAAAATCCAAATGCAAAGTGTGATTCGGAAATTACTCGAAATATAGCAGAAAAGCGGAAAGTAAGTGCGCCGTAAATGGTTCATTCCTAAAGTACGACGTGCAAAACCGAACGCGCCGCACCCCACTATAACACTCAGAAAATCCACCAAACGACTGATGGTCATGGACACGCCCCTCTGACGCTGTAATTCGATAATTCCATTTAATAGGCAGGGTTTCAATGAAGGGATCGGCCGACTATTGGCTGACTATCACGTCAATCAAATGCTATTTTGCATAAGCAGGTCAGGTTGCAGTTGCAGGGGAGTGGGCAGGGTTGGGATAGCCGAACTTCTCCGCTGGTGTAGTGTACAATCCTCAATTTAATACTTTATTTGAGAAATTATTTACTTTGCGTGTGTTTTGATAGGACACCATTAAGGAATGTTGGTTTTGCTCTTCTTCGAGTAATTAATGGGTTTATTGGGAAGTTAAGGTGAGTAAGTGTGGCTTTTAGCTCTAATTGTCTGTCAAAATAATTGTTATCAGTTTATTTGAACATGCGATGAACAGATAACCTTGCATAATTGTATCCTTTAATATTTCAGCTTTATTGTTCTTGAATGAGACATATATAGCGATATATATGATCATCAATAGCCTATTTTACCATAAGTAATAAATTAAATTTTTTTTAGACTTATATAATAAATAAATAAAAAGGTTGGAAAATGCCTTATTTATATTTACTAACATAAGCCATGGTCGAATAATAGATTCAATTATTTATAACTCATATAATTATCATATGGTAGCCTAATATAATTATAAGAAAGACTTTTCTAAATGCATATCCATCAGTACAGTTGCAGAGTGATGTGTTATATGTATTCGGACGTTGACGGTGATATTCTCCGGACTCGTGGTTTCCTGTGGCTTCAGATCTTGTGATTTCTGAAAGCAGGTAAGCCACTGACTAACGCACATTGCGCCTGTTCTCCACTCCACTGTGCGTGTGACAGCGGCTAACCAGCTTTTGGATGTGTGCCTGCCTGGGACTGTCCCACTGGAGACTCCCGAACGGACACAGCCACGGGAGGGACACTTCTGGCTCCACTGGCCCTCGACGAGTCTTTTTGTTCCTGTGATTCAACTGGTAATTCTCTGTGCGTGAAACCAAGCGTGTTGGATCCCCATGAGCACGTGTCCTGAATAAATAAACTGTGATCAATGTACAGTAAATGTAAATGTTGAATGACATCAGACAGTCACAGATCTACAGTAGACCCTGTACAGCTTTTAACATTGATCTCAAGTTGTTTCTCTAGTACTTTTATATGCAATAATAATGTTACCAATATATTTTGCATGCAACCAGCAGCTGTGAACTTCTGAACTCGTAGGTACAGTAACACAAGTCCAGTTACAGTAGCTGTGGGAGTGTGTGTCACTATGTCAATTGAAGCAACTTTGAATCAACAGTCTGACAGTCAGTGTTATCTTCCATTCATTTATCATTAAACTTTCATTTTGTTCACCCTCTTCGGTTTTGGTTTTGTACAGTATGTGGTTTAGACGTTGAGGTTTTCATGAATGATATGACACTATATAATATTACGTAAATATAGGCTATCAAATTAAGAAAATACAAACTAAATCTTAATGTTTATATAGCTTATATAGAGTATATATTTACTGTCCTCTCAAAATAACTCAACATACACTGTAGCTGGCAACAAAAGTGAACATGTCAAAACTGTCCAAAGTGTCAATATTTTGTGTGAGCACCAGTCTTATCTTGCTAGCCATTGTTATATATATATAATTTAATTATATATAAAAATCCTAATGTTTCAGAATACAAATATGCTTTTAGCAACAGAATATTAAAGGTTGTGGTGAGATTGTGCTAAAGAAACGAGTAACATGGTACGGCACTAAGTTAACCTTAAGTTAATTTTTTTTAAAATATGGTCAAAAATACATCCAGGCTTTGTCTTGTAAAGCACAAACTGCACTTTATATTACATAAATCTCACTAAATTTAGTTGATTTATGGATACATGTTGGAGTTTGAGTTCCATAAAATGTAAATCCGGCCTCCTAACATTAAATCAAATTTCCTGCAATCGATTCTTTATAATGTATAGGCGTTATTGGGGAAATATGTAACTGAAACATCATTATTGTGTGTCGGACTGCATTAGTGCTGTTAGTAGCTCTGGTCCACTTAAGGGAACTCATCACAGATTAGAGATTTGATTTGATTGAATCACTTTTGAATCTGCCTTTTTGTTGTGATTAAACCCCCTTGGTGTATTAATGTGAAAAATATGAATTAAAAAATATAATTCTCATTAATGTAAATTCATGAGCCACGCCTTTCCACGTGTGTATCCGTGTCTATCCTATAGTTCCTGCTGACAGCCATGAGAAGATCGGATGCTTATCTATATGTCAGACGTTCCTTGATCTTATCTACTGTATATAATATAGTTTTTCATAATATCAAAGCAGCCAAGCTAAAAGAGAACAACTCAGACAAACACATAAATCAGGTTTTTTAAAACTGGTGTTTAAAACCTTTGTGGTGAAGTGGAGGAACAGATATAAATTAAGATGTGCATTAAATTAAGATAAGTTTTTTTCTTAGTGGACTAACAAAATTGTGACTTCCTTTATAAAAATATGTCTTTATAGATTTTTATACACTTTAGGACAGTTCTGGGTTTAGATTAGTGTCTCTTAAACTTAGTTCCAAGACCCATATTTGATCAAATCAGATTCAGACCATATACGTCACATGAATAGGTGATGATGTAAGAACGTAATAAATAAAAAATGTTTATTACAATTCCAAATTATTAGAATAATAATTAAAAAAAATCAACATCAATGAAAATATTTAGAATTTTTAAATAATATTTATATAATATTTTTAAATAATAATATTAATATTATGTATATTACATGTGAAATGTATTGTAGTAAAATATAAGTATACAAACATATAATGCCTATAACAATAAAAAAAAAGATAAAAATAACTAAATAAAAAAATATTTTATTTGTGGAGGTCAGGCCAGCTTATGGATAACAACACATAATACCAAGAAATTCAGAAAATGAATGTTAATTGTTTTACTCAAATTATCTTAATATAATTTGTAATAATAATAATAAATAAATGTAATATTTGGACCCCACTGTATACTCTCAGGGTCATTTTAGAAAAATTAAGTTTGTTTTATTCATATTGTTTTAGTTTTTTAAATGTCTATATAGCTTTTATTACTCTTTTCCATTTTAGTACATCAATTAAACCAAATAAAAATGAAAAGCTGAATAATTTTTGGTAACACTCTACAGTAAGGTCCATTAGTTAACGTTATAATCCATTAACTAACAGTGCATGAGAAATATATTTGTATTTGTTCATGTTAGTTATAAAAATACAACTGTTTCATGTTAGCTCAGGTCCATTAGATAATATTAACAGATGCAACTTTTGATTTTAATAATGTATAAAGTAAATGTTGAAATTAACATTAAGATTAATGAATGCTTTAGAAGTATTGTTTATTGTTAGTTAATGTTATCTTAACTAATGGTAACCTTATTGTAAAGTGTTACTGTTAATTATATTTTATTTCAGTTTAAGTTTATTTTATTTCAATCACCACTTTTCATGGTTTTAGTTCTAAACGAATAACAGTTGTGTGATATGAACACTCATTTTAGCCTATAACATGTATATTATTAACCCAGTGTAAGTGTTAGAAAACATCCAGTGTTTGCTTTCTCTTAACATCTGAACTTTGTGAATCAGTAATGAAGAGTCCCGTCGACAAACCATCAAGAGCAAGTCATCGAAGACACAGTCTTTATTAAATACATAGACAAAAGTAAAAGTCCTCGAGATAAAATCTGGTAATATTTTACAGTAAATACATGTTTTTTGAAATGTACCAAAAAGTAGTAAATATATCATTAATATATATATATATTCATATATACAGGATATATATAACATGAACTGTTATACTGTTGCCAGTTAAGATGAATTTAAGCAGAAACCCACTCTACATCCTTAGCCCTGCTTCAGGTTTATTACCGCCAAGACGATTCCCTGGAAGTCAGGACTGCAAGACACATAGAAAAGTACATAGAGTGAGGCTGTTGGGTTTAGAAACCATGATAGGTACAAAAATACTTCATCTGTGGAGGTTTCAGACACACTCCCATGCACACAGCAGCAGAGAGAACAGGGGAAAGTCCACACGCCTCACTTAGCAGAGTTAGCAGTCGCTAAACCAGAAACTCAGTCTCGTGGAGGAATATGTGATATAGCACAAGGCATTGATAATGTGTGGGAAGGATGAATTCGACATCCATCGGTTCTTTGGAAATAGCGAATACACACAGAGACGTTCCAACAGTCCAACAGGTTTATCCCCGATAGTAGCAGATACAGACCAGAAAAACAACGGATGACTGGTGAAACATCTACTGATGATATTCTTGTCATTTATATGTTACTTGCTCAAAGAAAATAGCTAGCCACTGGTTCCCCTTTTAAAAAGTCCCCAGCTTTGTAATTGTTTGAAAGTATATGAGTGGAAATAGTTGATATTTTTGAATACTTGTAAATGCCATTTGTTCACAATCAGATGCCACAAACGTGATGCTTTCAAAATGACTCTTTTATGTACACTGGTCACAATCTTTGTATTAACATTCAGAATGAATAAAATGACGGTTTGGATCATTGTCCACTCGGCACATCTTGTGGACAAATAGTTGTTTAAGGAGACATTAACATGTCACATCATTAGACGTGTTAAAGTGATAGATCACCCACAATTGAAGATTTTGTCTTGATTTATTCACTCTCATGATGTCCAAACCTATATGATTTTCTTTATTCCGTGGAAAACAAAAGGAGATATTTCGCGAAATGTTCAAGCTGCTGCTTTTCCATTCGAAACCATATATTAACCAGTTGCAAGATTCACAACACATTCTTAAAGGGACAGTTCACCCAGTCATCATTTACTTATCCTCATTTCGTCCCAAACACGTGAGACTTTCGTTCATCTTTGGAACACAAATGAAGATATTTTAAATGAAATCTCAGAGAATTACCATTTTGACGCTTCAAAAAGTTCATAAAGAGATCGTAAAACTAATCCATATGAATTGAGCGGTTTAGTCCAAATTGTCTGAAGAGACACGATCGCATTTATGATGAAAAGACTGAATTAAGGCTTTTATTTACATATAAACATTGATCTGCGAACATAAACAGAAGCTCAAACGTGATGCGTAACAAGAGAATGAAGCTCATTGGTTCTCGCACGTCAAGCGAACAAGCTTGAGCTTCCATTTACCACAACTGATGAGTGTTGATGAGTGCCTATATGTGGATGAAAGACTAAATTAAATCTGTTTATAATATAAAGTGATTGTGTCTCCAGAAAATTTGGACTAAACTGCTCAATGCAAACTTTTTGAAGCGTTAAAGTAGTAGTTGCATAGACTTTCAATGGAGGGACAGAAATCTTTCAGGTCTCATAAAAAATAACTTCATTTGTGTTTCGAAGATGAACGAAAGTCTTACGGGTGTGGAACGACGGGTAAATTCATTTTGGGGTGAACTATCCCTTTAAAAGCTCATCACTGGGAAAACATTCAGTTACATGGAAGAAAGGTATACAGGTTTGAAACCCCAAGTAAAGTAAATGACAACTGAATTTTTATATATAAGGTGAAGTATCCCTTTAATAACACACACACACACACACACAGAGAGAGAGAGAGGGCGAGAGAGGCACTTTAAATCAGCGAAACAGGGCTGAAAACAACACAATGTAAGGACACCAAACTGGGACAGAAGAGCGTAAAAAAGCAGAGGTGTGTAGAGCTCAAAGGAACACTGCAGAAACACTTTAGTTTGCGAATTTTAAGTCAAATTGCATCTTCATAAGCAAACATATCTCAACTAGATTTCAACAAAAGTTGTTAGCAGCTTGTCAAGATGTAATTTGGAACCAGCCCACTACCCTTAAACTAAAGTGTTGAAGAACACAGGTCATGGTAACACTTCTTTATGAAAGGCACTACATACTGACAATGTAATATGTAACATCCATATTTATAGACCCAAGTAGTTAAACAAAATCAGCATATACTGTATATTAATAATACTAATATACAGAGACTGTATATATATCGGTAATGTTGTGTAAATTAGTTGACGCAATGCCTTTCAGCTAAAGTGCTACAATAATCAGGCATGTTGATGGAAAGAGTGCGGTTAGGGGGGGGGGGCACCATGCAGGCACTTCACCCAGACAGGACTGTCCCGCTGGGGTTGAGGAGCAGGGAAGCAGCAGCGGGCGTCTGTCACACATACACACCCTCAGGGTTCAGGCTGGACACCAGCGGGTGCTGCAGGTTTCGAGGGTGACCAAGGAACTGCTTAGCCGTGGGACGTGGGGGGGATTCTGTGGCAAAGAAATATGGAGTCAAATATACAACAGCAACATCATATAACGTTCAAATAAACACACATATCTGTGCTGGCCATATGACCATAGTACTGTACTATTTGTGCAGTATGCTATGTATATTCATGGAATAACAAAAATAAATCCAGTGTACAACCAAAAATCATTAAAATAAATGCTGTATCCCACAATGCAACCCACTTTCCATTTCCAGCTGAGATGTTTAAAATCTCCTTCTTGACAAATTTTTCTTGATCAATTTTCACGTTACTCTAATATTTAAATCCAAGAAGATGACCGAATGCTATATTCTGAATTAAATATGCATAAACAATCATAACTGGATAATATGACAACAAAGTGAGACAATTTACCATTACATATCGCATACTGATTCATAATAGGGATGCCCTGATATGAACATTTTGGCTGATACCGATAACCGATAATTCTTGATATTTGAAAGCCGATAACCGATATATTGGCCGATAATTCTAAATCAAATTCTTTATATAATTTTTGTGAGCCTCATTACAAAACCAAAAGTCTCACCATTAAAAGCCTTGTCCCAAAGCACACACTTATAATGCTCTTATTATAATTTTATTGTTATGATAATTTTATAATGTTACACTTAACTGTATTTTCCTTTTTTTAAAGTGATTCCAATCCTATTTCATCCATCACCATCATGGCGAACAGCTGAAGGAAATGATCCATTATTTATTGGCTTTATTATATCTGCCAAATTATCTTATCGGGCCGATAACGATAACATAAAAATTAACGTGTATCGGCCGATACCGATATGGTGGCCGATATATATTGCATCCCTAGTTCTGAATGAAATACTTGTCTACTGTGCAGTATATACTGTACACTGCCTACTATTTAAAAAATACACTATGTGAAACAGTATGCATTATGCAAAGATAAACATTTAAAACATTAGTATGCGGCTTCCGGTATGCGACGGAACGAGGTGGACGTGTGAAACGATAGCTCCGTAAAGTCAGACGATTAAAACCCCTTGAATTCAGCTAATATTATCTAAGTTTAGGTAAAAGACTCGGAATATGAGCGGGGGTACTAAAACAAGAAACCAAAAGATGACTGGAAAAGCGGAACAAGAGGGACGCAAAGGAGGTGAACCGAATACACCAGATGCTAACAATGCTAGCATAAACGCACACAGCAGTGTCTCGACTTCTCAACCAAGTTTGAAAGATATAAGCGATCAAATAAGCAACCTTCGAACTCAGCTAAATGCCGATCTAACATCGTTTAAAGAAGAAGTAAAGAGAGAAGTGAAAGAGGAACTGTCAGAATTCAGACAACAGATTAACCAACAGTTAGCTTCTACGACGCTATCCTTACAAGAACATGACAATAAACTCGAGGAGGCGGCGGCGCGAATTGAGGAATTGGAAAGTTGGTCGGCAGTGGCAAATGAAGTGCTCCAAGAGTCACTAAAAGAGCAAAGGGCATTGCGGGGAAAAGTTGACGATTTGGAGTCAAGGGGGAGGCGAAACAACCTCAGAATATACGGGGTACGCGAGGAAATGGAAGGTCCCTCTGTGATTCAATTTGTGGAGAAGCTGTTGGTGAGCGAAAAACTTATTGAAGAAGGGACTGATGCCCAAATACAACGCGCACACCGCTCACTTGGCCCGAAACCGACCCCCGACACCCCCCCGAGATCAATAGTTGTTAACTTTCTTCAGTATAGAGTCAAAGAAGCGGTTCTCAGAAACGCCTGGAAAAAGAAGATTCAGCTTGGGGATAAATTTCTCTCTTTTGACCACGACTACACAACAGACGTGATCCAGCAACGCAAAGCTTACAAAAAGATTAAGCTTGTTTTGAAAGAGAACGGCATACGCTTCCAGACGCCATACACCCGATTGCGTATCCATTGGGAGAGTGGCCAACAGACCTACAACAGCGCTGAGGAAGCCGAAAGAGATCTGCATCGCCGAGGTCTTCTAGTTGAGGGCCACCTCGGTGTGGATAATACCAGCGGAACTGGCACACCAGCGACCCGAAGACTGGACCAAACATCGCCATGGCAACGCATGCCCCGGCGCGGAGAGAAGGAGACAGCCAAGAGAGCACGGGAACGGCTACAGGAATTCCAACGGAAGTTCACTACTTGATCCGAGAAGACAAAGACGTGGAGACCTGAGGGAAATAGGTACTAGCTATGTTCCAAAGAGCTGTGTGTTCAGTTGCTTTTTGTCACAGACTGTCAATGATGTAAACACTAATATTGTCACTCTTTTTTATGATTCAAATAGTCTGATTTGAACGAGCTAAAACGCCTAAGGTAGAATTAGTGGAAAAGCTCTTGTTGTTTTATACGCTGGTTCTGGGAGGGGGTCCTCTCTTAGAGGGAGGCTTTCCCCCTTACCTTATTTTGGCGAAATGGGGGAATTGCAAATACCCTGCCTTGGAAGCCTTTTTTCAGTTTAACGTTATTTGTTCTGTTGCTTTAAGTTCAGTTTTGTTTTTATTTTTATTTACAAAGTTCATGTTCAAAGTTCATGGTTATAAGACAAGCAACCAATCTGAACCACCTCGCATTTATGATGCACAGTCAGAAGCTTAAATTAATGTCATTGAATGTCAATGGATTAGGTAACCCAGTAAAGCGGGCAAGGGTGATGAATAAGATAAGGAAAGACGATATGCACATCATCTTGCTACAGGAAACACATTTAGGAGCTTCGGAGCATGAAAAACTTATTAAATTTGGTTACAATATATTTTATAGCTCATATTCACAAAGTCATAGGAGGGGAGTTGCAATACTTGTAACCAAAAAAATAAAGCTTGATATTTTTAAAGAAATAAAGGATAAGGAGGGTCGATATATTCTAGTAAAGGGTAAAATCAATAATAATCTTATGACATTGGTTAACATCTATGCACCACCGGAATGCGAAACAACATTTTATAAAGAATTCTTTGATACACTCACAGCAGAAGCGGAAGGGATCTGTGTATGTGGAGGGGATTGGAATTCAGTCTTAAATTTGAAACTAGATACCACAAGTAAAAATAGGAGTAAAAGAAATCTTACAAAATTACTAAATATTTTGTTGGAGGAAACTGGCATGGTGGATGTGTGGAGGAAGCTCCACCCAACTATGAGGGACTATACACATTACTCAGTGCCTCACTTGGTTCATTCAAGAATAGACTATTTTATAATGAGACAGGAAGATTTCTACAGGGTAACCGAATGCAAGATCGGAGTCACTGATGTTTCAGACCACAGCGCAATATATTTAACTCTTAACTTGGAGAATAACCCCAAAAATACTGTATGGCGATTAAATGTGGGCCTCCTTAACAACCAATCAGTAGTTGGATCTGTCAAACAGGACATCAAAACATTTATAGAAGAAAATGACAATGGGGAGGTGGATCCATCAATAATATGGGACTCGCTAAAAGCTGTCTTACGAGGAAAACTAATAGCCAAGGTAACAAACATTAAGAAAACTAGGATTGAAGCATATAAAAGATTAATTAAAGATTTAAAAGATAAAGAGGAAAAATTCATTTTGAAAAAAGATCAAGACACTCAAAAAGAAATTCAAAAATTGAAAATGCAACTTGAAAATTATTTAGATGATGAAGTAGAGAAAAAAGCTAGATTTACAAAACAAGCATATTATGAACTAGGCCCAAAATCAACAAAGTTTCTCGCTAGAAAACTACGCAAACAACAAGCGGACTCAACAATTTTGAAAATTAAAGACCCTATCTCGCAAAAGCTTCGAACTGAGCCAAAAGAAATAGAAAACACTTTTTATCAGTACTACAGCAAATTATATTCACTAGAGGGCGCTTCTAACAAAGAGTCGATTAGAGCATTCCTAGACAAATTAGACCTTCCCTGTATAGGAGAAATACAAAATAAAAGAATATTAGCAGAAATCACATCAAAAGAACTGGATAAAGCAATAAATAGACTAAAGGCAAATAAAGCCCCAGGTAGTGATGGTTTCCCCGGCGAGTGGTATAGGACTTTTAAGGTAGAATTGAAGCCGCTTCTTCTTAGAGCTTTAAACTATATCCATAAAGAAGGCAAGACCCCTCCATCATGGAAGGAAGCAATTATTACGCTGATCCCCAAAGAAAATAAAGATAGAGATAATTGTGCCAATTATAGACCAATATCAATTTTAAATGTGGACTATAAGCTATATACATCCATCATTTCTAGACGATTTGAAACCTTTATTTCTGATATAATTGATGAGGATCAGACTGGCTTTATAATTGGTAGGCAAACGCAAGATAATATCAGAAGAAGTCTACATGTGATTCACAATATCTCCAGCAAAAAGCTTAAAGCGGCCTTGATCAGCCTCGATGCAGAAAAGGCCTTCGATCGAGTAAATTGGGATTTCCTATATCTAACGTTGGAGAAATTTGGCCTTACTAATGACTCTGTTCAATGTATTAGAGCAATTTATGATAAGCCAACCGCAAGAATAAAAGTGAATGGATCTCTGACAGACCGGTTTGAACTTAGTAGAGGATGTAGGCAGGGCTGCGGATTAAGCCCCACCCTTTTTGCTTTATACATTGAGCCACTCGCTCAAGCGATTCGGGAGAAAGAGGATTTAAAGGGGATTATGATCAACGAAAGAGAACAAAGGATCGGATTATTTGCGGACGATATATTGTTATTTCTAGAAGATATTAACATATCACTTCCCATACTGATGGATCTTTTGGGAAAGTATAATGAATATGCTGGATACAAGTTGAACATTTCCAAAACCCAAATACTATTGTTTAATCATTCACCCTCAAATGAAACTGCACGCACATATGATATAAAATGGAGCACCAACAAAATTAAATACCTCGGAGTATTTCTATCCAAAGATTCTTCACTACTATATAATTTTAATTACAACCCAATAAACGAAAGTATTAGAACAGACATCCAGAGATGGTCTACTTATCCACTCGGCTTAAGTGATAGAATAAAAGTGGTAAAAATGAACATCCTCCCTAGGCTACTTTACTTATTTCAATCCCTCCCGGTAAATATTCCGTCAAAACAATTCACAGAGTGGGATAAGCTGTTATCGAAGTTTATATGGGATGGGAAGAGGCCCAGAGTTAGGTATTCAACATTACAGCTGCAGAAGGATAAGGGGGGCATGGCCCTTCCAAATTTAAAAATGTATTTCTATGCAGCTCAATTGCGTTACCTGTGTTGCTGGTGTGACCCTAGTTACTGTGCCAAATGGAAAGAGATTGAGACATGCATCCCTGGGTACAATGTTCAGACACTCGTGGGAGAGGACCATATCCCAACTGATGTAATAGAAATACTTGGCCCAATTGCACAACTCACAATGGAAATTTGGTATAGTGTAGCAAGACAATTAAAATTGAATAAAGAAAGAAAAATATTAAGATGGGTAGCTCATGACAAAGACTTTAAACCAGGAATGCATGACTCAAATTTCAAATTTTGGACCAATAGAGGGGTTACAGCTTTTTGTAATTTAATTAATAATGGGGAAATAAGAAGTTTTCAATATCTGAAAGACAAATTTAGTCTAGATAATCGAGACTTCTTCCGATACCTGCAACTAAGAGAATACTATAATAAAGAAATTAAGGACAGAAACGAACCTAATGCAGTTTTAGAGACTCTGTGTGGTGCATACCAACAGAAAACACACAAAATTACTTCAAAGCTATACACTAGCTTAATGTCCTGTCAAAAAAACACAACCCTGTATGTCAAAGAAAAGTGGGAAAGAGAAGCAGCTGTCACGATCTCAAATGAAGAATGGTATAAAATCTGTGAGTTGTCACAGACATCTACAAATTCACAAAAATGGAGAGAATTCAATTGGAAAAATTTCATTCGATTCTTTATCACGCCATCTATTAAAGGTAAACAACTGTCCACCCAACAAGTATGTTGGAGGCAATGTGGCTCTGTGGATGCTACCCACACACATGTTTTCTGGGACTGTCTTGAGATAAAACCTTTCTGGACTTCTGTCCACCTTATTTTCTGCAAAGTACTGGAGTACTCTGTACCATTAACTTTTACAACAATGTATCTGGGTCTTTTGTCCAATGTAAAGAAAGATGATCGATATCTGGTTAAGATATTATTGTCGGCAGGGAGGAAAGCGATAACAAGAAGTTGGCTCAAACCTGAGCCACCCAGCCATACTCAGTGGATGGACATTGTGCAGGAAATATTCACCATGGAAAAAGAATGACCTTTATTCTAAGACTGAAAGAAGCTGAATTTAAAGAAAAATGGAGCAAATGGATAGCATATAGATTTGCATTAGAAACTGTGTAATCTGAAGTTTTTTCTTTATTATATATATATATATATATTTTTTTTATATATCATGACATCTGGTTGCTGTCTTATGTTTATTTGTTCATTTTTATTTTATTTTTGCATTATGTAACCATACTCAAAATTGAGATCACTATGCTTTGTCTTTGACCTGCCTAAAACAATAAAAATAAGAGTGAAAAAAAAAAAAAAAAACATTAGTATGCAATGTCACTTTATCTCATCGTGTTACGTTTAATTTAGTGAGCATGATCTAGTTATCCCGTTGGAAATATTTTCATTTTTGTATTAAAAAATCTATCTTAAAATGTGCAGGCTATACTGTAGCACACTAGAAATACGAAGATTAGTATGGTAGTATGCTATTCCAAATTTAGCCGTTGAAAACGGCAGATCATGTGATTCCAGTTACCAAATCATTACTAGCACATTGCATTGTAGGAAATAATATCATTCAAATTGATACATAGAATATACCCTGTAAAACATTACTTTATAAAATTTAAAAGTGATATTGATGTTAATTGTACCTTTTGTGACAGTTGACCTGAAACTGTGGTTCATTTATTTTGGCATTGCCCATTTAGACCATTTTGGCAAAATGTCTGTGATTTTATCACAAGAAACATTGATGACCAATTTATGTTGTTTTGGAAACATATTTTATTTGGTATTTGGGAGAACAGTAGAATCAAGCATGGTCAGATTTATATAATTAATTTTATTATTTTAATGGCAAACTTTTATGTTCATAAATGTAAATTCTCCTGTAAAAAAACCTTATTTTACTTCATTCAGGAAAGAAATTGAGCTTTATATTGATTCACTCCGACTTTCTATGAAGCAAAAAGCAATTAAGACATTGAAAATTCGTAATTGCTTTAATATCTTCATTAGCAATAGCCCCCTAGTGTGAAAGTCTTTGTTATATCTATGTTGTATGTCAATGATGTATACACAAGTGTTTGTACAAACTTTGTTGATAATAAAAAAGAGAGAAAAAAGGATATAATATTCTGCAGTGTGTATTTTGTATAGTGAACATTATAAATCAGTAAATCATTTGGGTATTCCAAGTATTTGTGTGAATACGCACTATAGTACTATGTTAGAATGCAACTAGTTGCCATATGTGTAGTATGCAGTAAACAGTATGCTAGTATTCATTTATTTACTCTGCCAGGCCATTAGATGGCGATGAAACACTAAAGACTGAACACGTAGGCCCTGTCCCAAATGGCACACTTCATGTGCACTTTCGGTCTTGTGGACTTACAATGGCTGCCGCGTGCGCGTGTCCGTTAAGTCCGTGAGACCGCAGTGTGTCCCATTTGTCATTTTTAGATCTCAGAAGGGTGCTCGCGAGCGCCCCCTCTGCGGTCGATTTGCGCCCTTGATGCGCACTTTTGCCGAGCCCACGCTGATGCGGACTCCACAGCAGACGTCTTCCCGACATTCAAAGCGGCGTTACGTTGCGAAAGTGCGGACTCAGAGGAAGACCGCGAGTGCTTAGGGTTCCATTTGGGACAGGGCAAGAGTATGCACATGCATGACGTCTTCCGTCTTCAGAGATTTGTCGTTTTTGTTGTTTACACGGAGACCGTTTTCAAAAACTTGCACTTCGAAACCCGTTTTTAAAAGTTTGCGTTTTAGGCACCCAAAACGCTGTTTTTGTGTAAAAACGAACTTAAAAAGTTTTTGGTTTTTGGTTGAAAACGGTGTCGTGTAAACAGCCCCAAACTGTGTGTGTGTGTGTGTGCAGGCCATACCATTGTGTTTGTCCTGCTGTTGTTGAGTCAGGTCCAGTTCTTCTGGGTGTTCATTAAGGTCTGTGCGGGATTGAGTGTGGGTGGGCAGGGCTCCAGCCTGCTGGATAAACTGTTGTAAATTACACTGTCTGAGCTCCTTATTCAACTCCTCCACTTCCTCCTGCTTTGCCTACACACAGAGAGAACAGACCATCACAAACAGCCTGCTGAATCAAATCAAGTACAGTTTAAATCATTATGAAGATGAATTATTAAACTCAGTCAGTTGCTGCACTGTATGTTGTTAAGATTCCTAAGATGGCCAACAACCTGCTCTTGGATTCATTTGAGATTTTTGCATTTATTAAATTATTTTTTAATATTTAGAATATAATATTTTGTTTTGACATTTTCAATATAAATTATTTAAGTAGTACCTTTAATGTAAAGGTACACACATGTACGATGTTCACACATGAAAACCTTTTGTTTTAATCTTGTGAATGTCTGAATACAAAACTTTTCTTTTCTTTTGCTTCTTTCTTGTAATTCCACCAGCAATCACAAGGGGACGCCATGTTTCAGCAGCAACAACAGCCACGGCAGTAGGTTTGTGCCCTGCGGCTCTGTTTACAGTAATCTCAGGATTTGTCCTCTATGTGTTTGTTTGACACCTATACGGCTGTAGGTTTCATAACAAGACAAGCCAAATTAAAATACAGACAAGTCAAAGGTAATCACAAAGTGTGTGACTCAAGTAATCACTTGAGTTTCTGTTCGGAAACTATGATAATTCACCGTGTGGTCATGGAGGAAGAGCAGCCTACTTCACATGCAAGACTTATCCAATGGGAATAGATTTTGACTATGTAAGATCCGGTTAGTCATGGCTGATTTTCTTGCTTTTTGGAAGAAGACATAAAGGAAGATTTTTGAGTGGCACTGTGATATAGTTCAGATCATCTTCACAGACCTGGAAGTCTTTGATTCAAGTCTCTGGAAGAGTGAAATATTGAAATGTCTGGTGCATAATTTCCTACAGTGTGAAATTCATACATGCCTAGCAGGAAAGGAAACTCATTTAATAGGTGTATACCTTTATTTTGTCCTTTCAAGGCATAAAATACACAGGAAATAAAATAAATGTATGCGTGTCCAAATAAAAACATTAGTTTTTGTGCACAGAAAAGTAGGTTAAAAGAGTGTGAACATCTGAATAATTTCAAAAGGTGAGTTCCTTTGTTCACTTTCAGATTTTCAGTTCATTGCTCGTACGCCCTTTGCCTGAGGGGACAGTAAAACCTGCCAGCATTTTGCAGCCAACAGCTATAAACCTCTTTCTTGAGCCACGCCCTCTCTGCTTACCTTCAGCAGAGTCTCCGCCCTCCCCAAAGCCTTCTCAAGCTCTACTAGCTCTGCCTCCAAGTCCTCCCCCTGCTTTTGTCGACTTTGAACATCTGCCTTGACTACCCCCACAAAGTCTTTTGAATCGGGCTGATTGGGCAAGGTGTCCACCTGTAGCATTTCCCTCTGGACGTCCTTTTCAAGTTGCATTGCACGAGTGTTGAATTCATGCAACTTTTGCCCACAGTCATCCAGTTTAGCATGCAGCTCTCCTAACCGCCGCTTCATCCCACGCTCCCTCTCGGTCTCTAGCTTTAGTTCCTCCTCCCAGAACTCCTCGTCCACCAACTCTTGCTGGTTCTTCCACAAGGTATTTTCCAAGACTTCCAACTCTGCCTGCAGGGACGACTCCTCTGTAGACGTCTGGTCCCAAGTCTCGCATTCCCTGTCCACGTCCACCAGCTGGGACTCAAGGGCACGGAGCTGCTCCTGCTGCTGGAGAACATGCCGAAACACCTCCTCTTTAGATGGCGCCGGAAGGTACGGCGTGTGAGGAACTGGGGATGCCCTCTGTTCAGGAGAGGGTGTTTTACGAGAGTCTTTAGTTTTTGTACGAGGAGAACAGGAAGGGCCCAGGTTGAAGGTTAAGGATTTCTTCGGTAGTCCCCGTTTGGGTTCTGACGTGGAAGGCTTGGAGTGAGGGAGGGTGCGGCTGTGCAGACTTTGATCTTCACTGCTGCTGGGACCGGTCCGCCGCAGGAAGAACTGCACCTCACTGCTATGTTGGCCCAGTTTGGCCAGGGACTCCAGTGGGCGCTCATTGGCTAGAAGTTGGCGCTCAGTGTCCCTCAATCTCTGAATGAGAACGTAACGACCCGTCTGGCCTGTAGAGAGCACAGGGGTAGTTAGAGTCCAAAAAATGATTCACACCTACTTACTTTTCTGTACCCTTTTTATGTGGACAACCCCCTTGGATCTGGGGGAACTGTCCTAGGGTTACTTTAAGTGTCTTGCTCAAGGGCACTATGGCAAGGGCTCATTGACCACCACTTTGTTGGCTTCTAACCTACAATCTACTGGTTACCCAACCCAGATCTAATGAAATGCGTCTCTATAGGACGCATTGTGTTTATCGTGCAATTTATACCCGAAAATTAGTTTTTATGTTCATATGATACCCCTTGGGTCGGATTAGTGGTGTTGTGCATGTGCGTATTATAAGTTTGGGTAGGATTAGTGGTGTGGGGTATGTGGGTATTACATGTGTGCGTATCATATGCACGTAAAAACTAATTTTCGCGCATAAATTGCATGATAAACACAATGCGTGCTATAGAGACGCATTTCATGAGATCAAGCTGTGTTACCAGTCCAGATCTTTGAATGTCTAACCTCACCACCTTAAGTTCATTCTCAGAGGTACTTACCAATGGCTTGGGCGAGTGCAATGACTACATCCTGGCATGACGTCTCTTCCGACAGGCCGCAAACCACTCGTACAACTCCATCCACCCAAACTTTCAGCTCCATCAGAGACACAGGACACAGATCAGCTTACATCAGCAATGCATGACAATGTCTGGATTCTGAAATGACAAAACAGCAACAGTGACAAGTTAATGCAACATGTTTTCATGGTCTGAAAAAGATTACATTACAAACTTCAAAAAATCCATGCAGGTCTGATTCAACAGTTTTTAAAAAGTATTATTTTTAAGTTGACGTCATCCTAAAAAAAGCGACGCCCATGGTACAAGATGCAATACAATGGCCGAAGACATCCATGTGACATACATATGCATAGATCAATTAACAAAACAGTGCACAAGAATCCATGGCCCAAACCCAAAGTACTGGAGCCCTTAGTTAAAGTCGTCTGTGGACAGGGGCGTAGTTTGTGGGCGGGTGGAGGTACAGAATTAGGGTATTAATTAATTATATACATCACACGTTCAGAGCTTTTATACATGCTAAGTTTCCCTCTGAACTGAATGGACCAATTATCAGCGCAATATGACTGAAGCCTGGTTTATTTAATTGTGCATTTGTGGAGTGCAAAATATGATCTAAAACAGCCACATAAATTAAAAAGAAAAATTAAAAGAGGAAAGAAACTCATCTTGCACCAACATAAATTAGAAAACTTTTGAATCTATTCATTACCACCCATACTAGAATTTATCACTTCTTTGATTGTATTTATTGTGGTAAATTCTGACAAACTTGTACTGAATTTATAATAAATAATCTGTTAATGAAATATATTATTCTACTAAATTACAACTGTGCCATGTTGTAGCTAGCTATAGTTTCTAAATGTGTATGTTGCTATTTTTCATAACAAAAGCTATAGATCAATAAAAAAAGACAAGTCAACATTGGCCTACTAAGGAGACAAAAATGGTCTCACCTATAATTATAGCCTTATTGTAACAAATGATACAGCTAAATAATTAAAATAAATATAGTACAGTTTCATAAGGGCAAGTAAAAGTTAGAATCAAGAGCTTTAAAGTCTGGACCTTCTTGATTTATTGACCAAACAATCAGTTTTCCCCATGTGTAAAAATGTGTTATGACTGACAAGAAAACCTGACCTTCAGATATTCATCATGGCCGAAATCATTAAAAGTCTGATGAACTGTTAAGGAGTAGGAAATAAACAATTTCAAAGTAAAGTTAGTTTGACTTTCCATGGCACTTTGAAGTGGAAAATTAATTCTGTCAAACTGATAAGGTCCCAGATGCTTAAATATAAAATAGCTACAGCATATATCCTATGTAAACAAGTAATTGTTGACTAGGCTATTACTTTATTGGAGTTATGTTATCAACCAACTTTGCATGTGTGAATAGGTAAAAACCACAAAAGACCATTTTGCAAAAATAAATCAATAAACAAACAAACAAATCTCACGAAGCTCCCTCTAAAGCCCCGGGACCCCACTAGAAAGGTTCACTCTTCAATGTTCAGACCAAATCTACGTCCTCATCTGTGGAGTTTGAGAAGACAAAACGACCAAAGTGCCAATCTCTAGTCTAAACTTGTCAATCAAATCAAGCTATTTTCAACTTCAGTTGTTTCTACCTGATTGCTCAAACTCTGCAGGATTTCCAGCCATGAGACATGAAATCATGATTGAACATCAGGTCCAGTGGGTAAGCAAATTTCAAGAGTTATTATTAGCAGGAGGTTGATGGACTCATAGCTCTGCTCCAATTAACTGCACTGCTGGCTCTCTTCAAAGGCATTTTGGCAGATGAATGCTTAAGGGAACAGACAGGCAGAACTTAGTTGTTCAGAGACTGCATGTGCTTGCATGTGTTTCTGACTCCACTTTGAAGCCCCACAGCAGGAACAGATGGCACTGCTAAGGTAAGGTGTAGCATCTGAACTTTTAGCCGTGCAGTTATTGAGTGAATCCCAGTTTGTGAGATTAATAAGAGTGAGACAAAATGAATGTTGTCTCTGTGCACTTTTGACTGTTACGTATTGCAACCTTTGTGAGGAAATTCTACGGTAAAGTCTACTGCATTAACTAATGAAAACAAACAGTGCTGAGATACAAAGCAGACCATTTAGCAGCTGGTAAGTACCAGATGATGGATGCTCTATCTCCAGGCCTGAAAGTCAGGTTTAATAGAGAATAAAGGGAATGAGGGTGAGAGGAGCAGGAACATGTCTGGGTCATATTTTGGCCCCCAAATCGAAATATATAATGTATATAAATACGTTTTTCTTATGCATTGTGTGTGTGTGGATTATATATATATATATATATATACATACACACACTACAAACACACACACAGACACAATTTAATAGGCTTAAATTTTCTTCATCCTAAACCTTCAAAAACTTCCCCAATTTTTCTAATACTTTTCTAATTTTGGGCTGTTTTAAATGACATTCACACAACTATTTTTTACATTCAGAAACGCAATCAAGTGTGACAAAGTGTTTCTGAAAGCAGCCACTTGGCATTTGAGCCATCTAAATAAATAATTAGAAACCAGCCAAAGCACACCAACTTGTACGAGTCATTTGATATTTAGGCCACAAACGGTGTAATGACTGAGTTTTTACAACACAGGCTCTGTTTACACCTGGTATTAAGATGCGTTTTGGTCGATCGGATCCCAAGTAGACGAGGGAGACACAATCCCGTTTACACCTGGTGTTTTAATCTGTCTCTTTTGACCACTTCTGTCCTGATTTGTTCGCGGGGGGGGGGGGGGGGGGGGGGGGGGGGGGTCTATGGGCGGGTAAATGTACAGGTTTTGTACATCTTTCGATCTAATTGATGAAATAAGCTCACGCAATTTACATATGAACACGACTGGAGAAAACAGAAAAACTTACAGAGAGCAGCAGCTTTAGTTTCTGCTCTGACAGCAAAAAGCCCAGCCGAACGCTGTGAGTGTGTGTTAGAAATCAGGAATGGTGAGAGAACATTGTGCTTGGTACATTTTTCGTCTTCAAACCAAAAATGGGTCTTTAGTCGACGAAGTTTAAATCTCGTCTGTCTAGCGCACTTCCCATAATGGTTACCCATTAGGTCAGAAGGCAGTTCGCACACATTGGACCACATGAGCGTTTACACTGTTTACAGTCAAATTTGTTTTCGACTACCTCTGGAAGTGGTCGAAACGAAAGTAGACGAGCTCAAAAAGTTTTAGACCCTGTTTACACCTGTATTTAGTGTCGTCCACTTGTAATCCAATCGACCAAAACGCACTTTAATGCCAGGTGTAAACAGAGCCGGATTACAGTAGTGCAGGTAAAAAAGTTACTCCTAAACTTGATTTCGGTTTTCTATCCACCTGCTCTTGTAAGTCTCTTAATCTATTGTTTTTCTGTTCTTCAAAAACTCTGAAATGGTGCTGAATGCACTGAGGCATTTCCATCCACACTGAAGCAGAGGAATGCCACCTTGTTGGGCCACGTGAGCGGAGCGAAGAGTAAAACAAATCTCCTTTTGTCTCCTGTACCTCTAACAGGCTCATACTGAATCAGGTCCGTGGCCTCGGGGTAAACTCCTCAACGCAGCCCACTGAAGTTACCAGGCCAACAAAGCACTGGAATGTGAAAGATGAAGCGCAGAAGAATCAACAGGTGCCAAACTCGGACAGTTGCTCTTATGTTCACTGTATTAGTGTTAGAACTACATATTTTAGCATTGTGATTTGACTCACAACAGGCTTGCATTTGAGATTTGGGTGGATCTCCGTCGACAACTTCCATCTTAAAACGCAATCACTCGCACATGTCCAGACCCACTGCTTCAGAAATGCAGACCCACCCCAGACACGTCTAAAACATCCCGGTCTCCTCCCTTCAGAGCGCCGCCTCCAAAAGCTATGATTACTGGAATGATCCCGTTCCTCTCTCTCATCATCCTCTTTATGTTTTGCGGGCTGTTGGGAATATGTCCTGAGGAACAAGCGCGCTGTTATTGTGCAGGCGTGGTGCTTTCTCTTGATGCAGAGTTTATTAGCCAGCTGTTCTTATCCAAACACTACTGTGTGAAGTTGCCATTAATAAATCAGTGTAAATGTATTAGACAGTTAGAGGAGTGAAGCTCTCGGGGGAGATGGAGTAGATTCACACAAGCACATCTGCAGAATGAAGCCCGTAAACACCACCTTGCCCCACAAGGGAGGAGAGCTGTGCTATCTTTTAGCAATTCAGCTGTTTAATACACAAAATGTGAAAGCGTAAAAGTTCAAATAATTCATGAGGCTAAATTGAAGTTACACATGAAGACTATGTCTATTGAAGTATTAAACTTGTTGTGCTACAAACATGAATGATACCTTAAACAGTGCAAATGCACTGATATTTTCCAAACAGTTCAGGCCTGGCAGATGAAAAATGCAAAACACCCAAGCAACCACCTAGCAACTACCCAAAACACCCTATCAACTACATAGAAACGTGTTAACAACCCCAAACACCCTAGCAACCACCAATCAATTACCTAGACGCCCTATCAACCACATAGAAATGTGTTAACAACAACCCAAAACTCCCTATCAACCACCTAGCAACTAACCAGAACACTCTATCAACCACCCTTGCATCCACCTAGCAATGTGTTAACAACCGACCAAAACACCCAAGCAACCACCTAGTAACTGCCCAGAACACCCTATCAACTACATAGAAATGTGTTACCTCACACAAAACACCCTAGCAACCACCAATCATTACCTAGACATCCTATCAACTACATAGCAATGTGTTAACCACCTAAAAAAAAACACCCCAGCAACTGCCCAGAACACCCTATAAACGAAACAGAAACATGCTAACAAACAACAACCCAAAACACCCTTACAACACCCTAAGCAACTACCCAGAACACTTTAGCATCAGCATAGTAACATATTAACAACCACTCACCCTAACAACCAGCTAGCAACACCCTAAGCAACTACCCAGAATACTTTAGCATCAGCATAGTAACATATTAACAACCACTCACCCTAACAACCAGCTAGCAACACCCTAAGCAACTACCCAGAATACTTTAGCATCAGCATAGTAACATATTAACAACCACTCACCCTAACAACCAGCTA